CGATGGATCAATGTTGCTTGATCAAGGAGGTCCCCCCCCGTCCATGTCACCCCTCCCCTCTGCACTTTCCAACCTCATTCATTTGGACTTTTCCGGCATGGAACCTACACCCTTGACGCCTGAGCATGGATCTGCTATGGTAGGTCCCATGGTTGAGCCCACCCAAGTTCAGCCTGAGGGTCCACAATCCTCCAGCGAAATTGTTCTCCCTGATGAACCAGGCAACCTCCTGCCAGAAATCCCCAGCGATATTGTGGTCCCTAATGAACCAGGTAACCTCCTGCCAGAATATGATTCTTCTGATGATGAGATGGATGTTGAGGGAAAGGTTGATCTTCCTGGTGAGGAGGTTGACATGGCTACATAATTGCTCAGTGATAGATGTACATGAATGTTTTTCCATGCATGTTACCTATGCCACAATTGAATGATTGAATGATCAGTCCCGATATCCAGAACTCGAAACTGCAGATTGAGATAGATATCGCCCGAAACCCGAACACCCGAATGTCAAATTATCAGTGCCAAACCCCAAGTCCCAGGTGCCGGGTACCGAGTCCTGACACCCGGAACTCAGGATTTGACATTTGAGACGAACGACATCTTCCAGACATATTTAAATCAACCTATGTATATCTGTAAACATTGTACTAACCCCCAAACCCCAAACTGAGATGTACCAACCCCCAAACCCTGACACCCGAGACTGCTGGGTCTCGGGTCTCAGGTGTCCGGAACTCGGAACTCGGCACTCGGGGAAATTTGGGGAGATCAATACAATTTAATTTACAATCGAGTTGACAACACATTGACTTACCCATGTTTGCAATATATTTGTGTTTAGACATACCGAGTTCCGAGTTCCGGACACCCGAAACCCGAAACCCGAGACTGCCGGGTTTTGGGGTTCAGGTGTCCGGAACTCGGAACTCGGTATGTCTAAACACAAATATATTGCAAACATGGGTAAGTCGATGTGTTGTCAATCAACTCGATTGTAAATTAAATGGTATTGATCTCCCCAAAGTTTCCCAAGTTCCGAATTCTGGACACCCGAACCCCGAAACCCGAGACTGCCGGGTCTCGGGTCTCGGGTGTCCGGAACTCGGAACTTAAGAAAATTTGGGGAGATCAATACCATTTAATTTACAATCAAGTTTATTGACAAACACATTGACTTACCTATGTTTGCAATATATTTTCATTTAGACATACTGAGTTCCAAGTTCCGGACACCCGAGACCCGAGACTGCCAGGTCTCGGGTATCAGGTGTCCGGAACTCGGAACTCGGCACTCGGGGAAATTTGGGGAGATCAATACAATTTAATTTACAATCGAGTTGACAACACATTGACTTACCCATATTTGCAATATATTTGTGTTTAGACATACCGAGTTCCGAGTTCCGGACACCCAAACCCCGAAACCCGAGACTGCCGGGTCTCGGGTCTCGGGTGTCCGGAACTCGGAACTCAGTATGTCTAAACGAAAATATATTGCAAACATAGGTAAGTCAATGTGTTTGTCAATAAACTTGATTGTAAATTAAATGGTATTGATCTCCCCAAATTTTCTTAAGTTCCGAGTTCCGGACACCCGAGACCCGAGACCCGGCAGTCTCGGGTTTCGGGGTTCAGGTGTCCAGAATTCGGAACTCAGTATGTCTAAACAAAAATATATTGCAAACATGGGTAAGTCAATGTAGGTTTTGGGGTTCGGGGGTTGGTACATCTCGGTTTGGGGTTTGGCACTGAAAACTTGACATATATATTTTTGTGAGTGTTGTGCTTCTGGTGTCCATGCTTAGAAATAGGATTTGTTGCACACCAGGGTTCAGGTGTGGGGTTTTTCCACTTCAGTCCTCGATTATTGGTCAATGCCACACATGGTCGATTCATGTTTTTGTGCTTAGGGGTTTAGATTTGGTGGTCGATGGTAGGTATGTATATGCACTCATAGTGTACATGTATCCTACGTGTTTGATTCGCTGGTGGCTACATCAGCTGTATGTCATGATGGAACATATCTAGGCTCACCCATATATGTAATACACCCCCGTCGGCCCGCCCATCTATGTATTATCCCCCATGTCGGCCCACCCGTCTATGTAATACATCCCATGTTGGCCCACCCGTCTATATAATTATACCCCACCTCGGCCCATCTGTCTATGTAATAAATATTTTATCGCACCCTCAGCCCACCGGTCTATTTGATATCCCTTTTGTCAGCCCACCCGTATATGTAATACATTCCACGTCGGTCCACCTCTATATGTAATACACCCTACATCAGCCCACCCGTCTATGCAATATTCCCCTACCTCGGCCCACCCATATATGTAATACACCCACGTTGGCCCACCCATCTATATAACAATATTTGCCTTACATCTCTCTTCAGCCCAGCTGTCTATAATATCCTACTCTACATATCACCCAGATGGGCCCACCCATCTCCATGAATGATCATATTCCCCTGGCCCATCCGTCAACATTAAGGATATATATATCATTGGCATACATGGGCCCACCCGTCTCGATCGGAAATAATATGTGTCCCGGCCCATCCGTCATCATCGAGAATATACACAACATGGGCCCATGATCAGCTGGCCCGTCTCATATGGGATATTATGGAGGTCGGGTGGCCCGTATAATACGGAATTTGTCACTGAAGGGGCTCCGTTGGGATGCTGCCACTTGAAGCATAGCGGGTTTCCCTGAGGATTGACGAGGCAGTTGTCCTGCGTCTTGAGACTGTAAGAGGGGCTTCCATCCCACAGTGTTGTGGCTTCACAACGCTGTATGTCGTGGGAGAAGCGGCCGAGACAGACGGTGCAGGCTGACCAGCCGCAGGTGCCTGCACTTTGAGAAAAATCCCTTTTACGGGAGTTGCAGCTCTTGAAGTTGTCTGGGGACGATTTCTAGTTGTCATTGCCAGAATGGCATGGGGAGCATGAACGAGAGCTATGATGGTTGTAGTCATGATTGTCCCTGTGCGAATCGCGGTGGTGGTCTCTGTAGCTAGATTTATGGTGTAGAGACTCATGCCTCTCATGGTATGATATGGCACTTTTCACTAAGGAGTTCATTGCAGCATCACTCTGTGTGCTGTCTGCAGCTATCCCTATATGAGGCGCAGCTTTCCCGCGCAATGCGCACCATTCCCGCACTTCGCAATGTATATGCACACACGCTTTCCCATGCTCGAGCGCCCTATAGCACCAGCGATCCAGAAGCATCCATCCACTGTCCACCAAACCCTCTAGTGCGTTTATTTCCATTTCTCTTATTAGCATATTGTTCCACCTTTATTTTTATCATGGACTCTCACTCATATATATCTTTACATACCTTACTCAGTAGCGCTTCAGCTCTGCATGACAGCACTTAGGCGCGCTATATAAGCACCAGCAGTACATACTATGAAGAACCTTACCTTACTTCACCTCTCACTTTACCGAGCACTTACTACCTAGAAAGTCGCAGTAGAACTCTATCTGTTTACACCTCGCACTCACATCTCTTACCTTGCATTATAACATCACTTAAGCTTAGTCTCTCTCATTTCTGCATATCTGCGCGCACTTTCCTGCGCTTTGCACCTTACGTGCACGCGTTCCCGCACCTTCGTGCCTTGTGCACACCTGCACGCTTTCTTGTGCTTCGCTTTAGCGCATACTTCTAGATCTTTGCTGCACTTGCTTCCCCTTTAGGGTCGAACACACTTGTTGTCACAAGTATAGCAGACTAGGCAACATGCGACCCTACAACATTTACAGATACAGCCAGGAGCTTCGTTTGCGCCTCGCAGTATTGTTGTTTCTACAACAGTTTTGGGACTGGGGAAGTGGGTATTCACTCATCTTGGGCTGGAGGAGAGAAGTTGTGGCGGGTGTGGGAATGGAGAGTGAGTGATTGTCGTGGTGGGTGTTAGCATCCGTGTAAAAAGAATACGGTGTAGAAACAACAATACTGTGAGGAACAAATGATGCTCCTGACTGTATCTAAAAATGTTGTAGGTCGTGCGTTGCCTAGTCTGCTATGCTTGAGATGGCAAGCGCGTTTGACCCTTAAGGGGAAGCAAGTGCAGCAAGGATCTAGAGATATGCGCTGAAGCAAAGCGCGAGAAAGCGCGCAGGTGCGTGCAAGGCGCGGGAACATGCGCACATATTAGCGCGAAGCGCGAGAAAGCGCATGCGTGTGCGGAAACGATAGAGAGACTAAGCTTAAGTGATAATATAATGCAAGATAAGTGAAGAGAGATGCAAAGTGTAGAGGAATAGATTTCTACTGCGACTTTCTAGGTTAGTAAGTAGTAGGTAAAGTGAGAGGTGAAGTTCAGTGGTAAAAAATAGTGAGGAGTACTATGTACTGCTGGCGCTTATATAGCGCGCCTAAGTGCTGTAATGTGGAGCCGAAGCGCTACCGAGTAAGGTATGTAAAGATATATATAAGTAAGGGTCCATGATAAAAATAAGGTGGAACAATATACAAATGAGAGAAACAGAAATATACGCACTAGAGAACTTGGAGAACAGTGGATGGATGCATCTGGATGGCTGGCACTATAGGGCGCTCAAGCGCGGGAACGCGTGCGCATATACATCGCGAAGCGCGGGAAGGGTGCGCGCATGGCGCGCGTTGCACGGGAAAGCTGCGCCTCATATAGGGATAGCTGCGGGTAGTGCACAGAGTGACGCTACAAGTTCATGCTATGTACTCCCTAGTGAGAACTGTCATATCAGACCATGAGATGCACGAGTCTCTACAACAGGCATCCATGTGAAGGGTAGTACAGGCATCCATTTGAGCAGGGTACAGGCATCTGTGTTCACAAAGGGTACAGCCATCCACGAGAATGATTTGTGGGCATCCACGAGAGCAAAGCACAGGGAGGAAGTTTAATTGTTATTGTATAAGGGCATTTGTGCGAGTGTAGTGAATGAAAGAGTTCATGAGTTATGAATCATGCGATCAGTTTAAAAGGTGGACTTACCGCCATTAACATTTTGGAATGGATTCTGTCCCAGAGTTCCTCGTTGATCGCACAGAGGAGGGTTTCGTTAATGATAGCGATGTTAAAACCTTCGTCTCGTTTAAGACGGTCATGCCAGTCTAAACGGACCTGTGATGCATAATGGAGAATGACCGTATCTCCGATTTCACTGTTGTTTCAGATGGGGTGGTTCTCGAGATGCCAGAAGAAGAGTGAGAGGGCATTGATGTGGCTCTGCAGCCATTTGGCTTTGCTGAGTTGCATTAGAAATAAATTCTTTGCATGGAGAAAGGTCAGGAATGGGAGGTTGTGATCTGTGATAGCTGATTTCGAGGCTTTGAAAGTGTAAACCGGGCGGATCGTTAGCTGGTCGTCAACCCTGGTGAGGCCAAAGTCGTCTGCGACTGAATGCGCAGTGCATAGGGCCTCCTTGCAGCCGTCCGGTGAAAAATACCATAGCTCTTATAATTGAAGTTGTTGAGCTTTTGGACTGCATACTGGGAAGGACGCAGGGAAATGAAGTCTCCTACTGAAACAGTCTCGTCGAAGCTGTTCATCTTTGGTTTCTTTTTCTCTACCTCTGCCTTCTCTTTTTTGGCTTCTGCTTCTCGTAGTATGCGAGCCTCTTCTTCCTGGGCTGCATGGGCTTGCTCGATTTCTGTGGCTTCAGCCACTTCCTGCTCCCTGTTGAGGTTCCATTCATTGACTCTCTGGTTGTGACCCTCTGTCCATGATTGAGTGAGGCGTGTGACAATGTCCTCTTGGGATTGGCCAGTTGCCCTTCATATGTCGTCACAAATGTTTGCATACGCTGGACCATCAAAGTCCGGACAAACTTCTAATGATGGGTCTGCCATGTAATTAGAATAAGCTAGGAAGTTGTTTGAAATGGGTAACGTGTGAGAGGAAATAAAAACGAGCAAGACAATACTTCTGAGTGCAAATGATCGTTGTGGCACGGAGACAAGAAGCGTAAGGCCACGTCTGATGTTCACTCAAAGACTAAACTCTATTCTTTTGCTCGTGCCTCATTACATAATAGACTACCTAACTTGGTTAAAGAAAGTACCTGAACAATGGATGTGCTTCATTGTCTACACCGAAAAAGCACATGATATATGCACGGTCATCATCCAAGTGCGCCAGCACATCATCGGCATTCTCGCCATCCTTCAACGTGAGTAATGTTTTCTCCTTTGTTGCTTTGAAGTAACTTGCCAGTGCCGGAATGACGACCTGTTGCATGTAATTCATCCCATCTCTATATGTGCGCGGCACCTTCCACTTCAACTGAGTTTCAACATCAAAAAGACCCTTATCAATTTGTCTTGCAACCATACGCAGGACCGCAAGATCATTGCTATCCCAATAAGGTTCATCACGCAGCTCCGGGAGATAATCCTCAATCTGAATGTGATCGTTACACACAGCTGCCAGCACAGTTGCAGTTATTTGGGCGGCCCTGGATCGTGTGGAGATGTTGGGAAGTTGTAAATAGGGCCATGGTGGGATCTCTGCATGATATGAGATGAATGAGTCGACATTATGAAGCATAAAATGAATCACACGTACTTGGGAAAATGTCCGATGGAATATCTGTCTTATCGTAGTCAGCAGAGCTCGACATTGTTTCAGCAAGTGGGAGTCGAGTGGGAAGAGTCAGAGTTTAGGGGTAGAAAAATTCGTACGAGCCCAATTTATATTTCATCACCAAAATTACCGAATCCAGACATCACATGACAGGTTTGACGCCACCACATGTACGCGAGTATGAGATAGGTGCTTGATCTTATCTGCAAGCCACTTTATCTTTCTACTTTTGCCATGTCTGACGTAGTTTGGCGACCAGAAGATGATTCGAAGATCAGACCACCACTTCATGAGGGCCAAGTATACAGGCCAGACATACTGAACGTAATCGAGACGACCCTTGATGGACTGAGCGGGGAGCTGAGGGCTTTAAGTCTCGATATTCATGGTAATCACCTCTTAGAGCGGTCTTTCCGTCTTTTCTAAACGTATTCAATATTCACGCATTTTTGAAAGACCATCCAGAGCTGAAGTTCGAAGAAAAGTGTGTTGGATCTCATCGCACGCCATAGCCACGCACAAACACTCAGAGCACTGCTACAGATATGCCCATAACGCATACACTGCGTTCATGGAAAAACACGATTTCACAGTGACCAAGAACTATCTCCTTGAGACTGCCTGGGTGGCTACCTACATCCATGGACAGGGAGGGCGCGTTTTGGGAGTCAACTCTGAGATGGATGCACTCCCTGGAATCGGGCATGCTTGCGGACATAATCTTATTGGGATTTCCGGAGTAGCGGTAGCTCTTGCAGCCAAGGCCGTTATGGAGAGGTTAAACATCGATGGAAAGGTAGTTCTGCTCGGCACACCTGGTGCGTCGGTGTCTGCAGATATTTGTGATGGTGGGCTTTGTGATAACACTCGAGGCAGCCGAGGAAGGTGGTTTTGGCAAGGTCATACTGTATGAAAAGGGTGCTTATGATGAGATGGATGTGTGCTTGATGTCAGTTCCTCTCCCGGTGGTGCATATCAGATGACCAGGATTACTGAACTTGCTTTGAAGGTGCCATCCCGCACCTGGCCCCCGCCACTCCATTAGTTTATCTGGCTGCTTGGCGATCTCTCGCGTCACGGTGGAGTATCAAGGCCATACGTTAGCGTCTTTCATACTCTCCATAAACTTGTAGTATTCAATCCTTCGCGTTCACAGTGCTCACGCTGGGTTAAGCCCCTGGGAGGGACAAAATGCTTTGGATGCGGCCGTCCTTGCTTATAACAACGTTTCTCTTCTTCGTCAGCAGATCAAGCCTACTCACCGCGTGCATGGTATATTCGAAGGAAAGGATTGGGCTCCGAACAGTGAGATTTTCACTCTGTAAAAACGCTTGAGAATAATTCTCAAAAAATCAGTCATTCCGGACCACGCTATAATGCAGTAAGTCGATCTCAATGATCCCCCACCCTGAGCACTCTATACACGAATACAGGTGGTTAGTCCGTGCTCCCACAACATCAGAGATGGAAGATACCAGGAAACGTGTCATTTCCTGCTTTGAGTCAGTCTTTCACTACCAACATGTTTTTGCGATCAAGCGACATAATCTATTCGTTACAGGGCAGCTGCGCTGGCAAGTGGATGCAAAGTTGAAATCACGATCGGGTCGGTAGGAAACGAAATCAGGCAAAACAAAACACTTAGTATGAAATCACGGCATGCAGTGACTTGGTACTGAACCTCATATCAGGCGATGAACTTGCTGATGTTGTTCTGAAGCGCTATGGTGCTATCGATTACGACTGGGGTATCAAGAGCGCTTCTACTGATTTCGTGAGTATTTTGCACACCCAGAAAGTGCAACAGAGTTGATGCTTTGGACCAAAAAGGGGAACATTACATACTGTGCGTCGGACATCCACGACTGGGGGTAAGCACATACTAATGAAGTTCTTGTTCGTCAGTGATGCCTGGTCTTCACCCTGGTTTTTGTAAGTAGCGCAGGTTCCGGATGAACCATACTAACCGTTTTTAAGCCATCCCGACCATCCCAGATGGCGGGAACCATACCACAGGATTCACGGAAGCCGCACGTTCCGAAGTATCCCATGACGCCTGTTTGGTGGTTTCGAAAGCACTCGCGGCTGTAGGCATGCGAGTCTTGACTGACGAGGCGTTCCTCCAGAAAGTAGGTGTCATGTGTTTTCCAAATAACTTTCTTTTGACTGCGTTTTGCAGGTTAAGGACACATTTGAGGAAGATAAGAAATTAAGAGTGTAATTACTACCCTTTCATGCGCGCAGAAGAATTTACATATGTCCGAGTCAAACTTGTATTGAGTGTGTTATCCAGTATTCTGTTAACCTCGTCTCGAACCAGATGTGCCGGAACTGACATTGAGGTGATCTTGAAAGCGAGCAACCACGATGGGAAGCGCCAGCTGTGTTACTCTTGAGCCTGAATAGCAGACTTATATTGATGGTCGTAATAGTGAACGCAGCAAAGGAAGAAAAAGGAGAATCGGATACCAATCGACCTTGCGGATTTAACGGGCCAGGACTATATCTTTAATCGACAGCATTCGATGCAGCTATAGTATAGTACACAGTGGGTGCAGGGAAGAGAGCGAAAGTGCAAATTACAAACGATACAATTCATACGTGAGTAAACCTGGTCAGCTATAGAAAAGTGACATGAGGAATGCGTGTCAAACGAATGTATCATGCAGCAGAGAAAGCGAGCCAGAATTATGAACACGAAGTCCGTTTGCATCAAAGCGAACCGGAGGATTCCACCAAGGAGCGCGAAGGAGAGGGAGACAAGTTTTCGCGTTTCACTGTATCGTTAGCCTCGTGTGCAATGAGGACACCAGACTCATCTAAATCGTCACTGCCTTCAGGTTTCACACTGACAGAAGTAAAGTGTTGTTTTGTTTTCTGGGCCCATTCTGCGATTCCAAAGCGCCCATGAATTTGGAGGTGTTGGACGAGACGGAAGGTAAGGTATGCCATTGCGCCGAACGTGGTGACGACGAATGAGAAGAATAGTAGTCCTCCTAGTACCAAGAGGAGAACCGTGGCTGTAGGAAGGTCAGCGACCCGTCGTGACTTGGGAACGATGTGCGTACCGAACATAGTTTCCAATGCGACGACAGCCGCGAATGCGAATGCAAGAGCAATAGACATGGAGCTGCAAAGTGCGAAGATGGACAGGCCTCTGAAATCTCTGTGAATGCTGTCATATCTCGAACAAGCAGTCAACGCACATGAACGACAGTACTGGTAAGATACTCAGACCAGCGAAGAGGGTCAGAGTTATCGTGACCCATGTCTGATAAAAAGACTGAATCCCACTCATAAGATCTCCCGGATGTATGACGCACCATTGTCAACGGCTGACCCTGGAAGTATCTGGAAATTTTGTCCAATGCAGGACGTGCATACTTGCGCTCGATGCTGCACAAAACTTTATCAGTGGAAACTAGAAACAACAGTGAATCGCAACCTTACATATCAGTGTACGCTTGGACGACTAGAGTGCTTCCTTCGAGGTAAGAAGCAAGTTCATCCAAGCCTGCAGTGAGTGAGTTTACGCCTGGGTTATCATCCATGTCCTGATAATTGTTACAGAGACTGAGTCCTGGCGCTGTGGAAACGAACCAATTGCAAAAGCGACTCGGGGCGTTAAGCGCTGACTCCTGAACAACATATGAACCACGTGGCTGATTGCACCCGGTCCTACTAAGACTTGATCGAGCATCCTCCGCAGAGTCCACACCATGAGCAGGCGAAAACTAGTATTTAATGTTCAACCCCGAAGAGCAACAACTTCACCAAGCTGCGCTTTCCAGCTCGGAAAAGGCGAGCTCAACTCTTCCGATCACCCATAACTTCAAGTACCCCATGCTCAAAGTCCTATCCAACGCAGCAGGCGTCATCTCCTTCCGAGCTGTAATGAAAAACGAGATCAAAGTGTGTGTACGTGTCATATCTCCATCGCATTTCCCCTGAGAACCCCTTGATGTGCAGAACACAGGAAGAAAGATATGAGCGGTGAAGAAGCCATGGTGCTCAGTCATATTCATGCTTCAGCAAACGAAGGTGAGTTGTTACGCATTGAATCAAACAGTGAGACTTACTATGTAATGCACAGACATCTGGACAAAATACCTAAAAGCCAAAACGGAACTGCACCAAACCAGTATCGATAGATACTCCAAATTACTAGTTCAGAAGCAGCTCGTGAAAGCCGTCAGGGTTCTACCATTCAAAGTTCTTGGCGCATTTCCTCATATGCTTGCACTATGCTACGCTAGCACTAAAATCGCAAGATCTACAAGCTCGCGCACCCAAGGCTATAACCTTCAGTCGAGCTTACGGATGGACCATGGTACACTGACAACGAACATGACACGGAATTATCAAGCTCCTCTCAACTGCATGTATGCATTACATCCGTGACCTTGTACTTCCCTTTCCTTCTCCTACAATTCAGACTCACAGTATTCTTTTCCGGCAGTCCTTCCCAAAATAAAACTCCTCCCAAGACGAATGCAAACTCTACTTCATTAGCGATGCGCCCTCCTATCCATCTGCCCAGCACATTCAGCGTTTTTTTGACTAAGAGAAAGATTACAGAGACTCGGTTGGGCATTGAGCGTATTGAGATGCTTTGAAGGAGCTGGAGTTGGATGGCGAGATTGAGAAGGTCAGTCGATTACTTCACTTCATTGCTTTCAGAGCCTACATCGGGTTCTACTGACTTGAATGCTTTGATCGACGCTGATGTCAAAACCTCATCTTCCGCAGAGAATATTGCGACACCTGTTACTACTTATAGCATGTACAGTCATGACTAGGCGGCCTACCAATGCGTTCTACCGTTTTCTATGGACGCTTCCAACAAAATAAATACTACAACCACAACTTGGATAATTGAATTTGAATATATGCTGAAGCTAACTTCGGGAGCTCGGTGCCAACTTACTAATTGTTGATAGCCACGTTAGCTGTTATAGAATTGAACAACCGAACTCGACAAGCCGTCGTAGCACAATGGTAGTGCGTTGCCTTCCTAAGGCAAAGGTTGCGGGTTCGATCCCCGTCGTCGGTAGTCGGTGCACTACGAGCGGTTAATTTTTGTTGGTTAGGACTAGACATATATAATGGTTCTTTTTGAACTTCAGGTTATATGTACGAAGTCCACGGTACAATCCGTCGTTCTTCCAGTTCCAACACCGGTTGTCTAGAGTCTTTGTACGCGGACCATGGCAACGCGAACGTACGTACCCCTACCATTGTCTAACCTCGCACCACCGTCCAGGCCCCGACTAATTCAAGTTCCACTACGGCGATCTCCCCGAAAGCACCAACCTCGTCTACATTCTCACTCAAGTCCTCCCTTTCGAGATCTGCAACCTAGGCGCACAATCCCACGTCAAAGTCTCTTTTGACATGGCAGAATACACAACCGACATCAATGGGCTCAGTACTCTCCACCTCTTCGACGCAATTTGTACGGCAGGGCTCGAGAAACACGCCAGGTTCTACCAAGCGTCCCCTTCAAAGTTCTATAGAGAGGGTAGTCGTGACGCCCCAGGGCGAGACCACCCCGTTCTATTCTCGCAGCTTGCACGGCATCGCTAAGCGTTATGCATATTGGATCATGGTAAACTACCGTGAGGCATACGGCATGTATGAGTGTACCAGGATCTTGTTCGACCATGAGAGTCCAAGGCGAGGGAGGACATTGTTACTAGGAAGATCTACATCAGCGCTGGCAAACAGTGCTGTTTGTACCCCAGTAACATAGGTGCGCAGCGAGACTGGGAACATGGTACAAGCGTGTCTTTCATTCTCTTCAGCTAACCAAGATGTGGACTACGTCAAGGGCATGTGACACATGTTCCAACAACCCGCCCCTGTCCTCGTGACGGGAGAGGCTTATCCTGTGAGAGAATGTGTCGAAAAGGCCTTTGCAATGACGATAAGGTACCCGTCTCCTTAAGCTTCCTCAGGTACACACATCATTTTCTGATGTCTGACACAATCACGCTATCACCCAGTGCATAGTATCACCTTTTTCAAATTTGAGTGCCCGGAAGGAACCGGCACCACACGTCCAGTTGTGGTTGCTTTCCTTCTCTTCACCCGGACCGTCGGACTGGCGCGGCTGGCAATGCCAGCTATAGACGGAAGCTGCTGTAACCTCAACCTACTAGTGATCTATGCTACCTACGACGATTGATATCGAGGCCTCAGTGTCATCCTACACACAATTGTTACCCCTTTTTAGATTCCTGTGTCGAATGGACACTGCTATGTATCCCAGATGATATCTGGCAGACAATTAATACATTTAATTCCTCGCAGGAAAACCTTGTCTCATAGTCTCGTACCCTCGCTCATATACTCCTCAATCGATCCTGCAGCCTTGAGGAAGAGCGATTCATCAGGTGCTTCTGCGCCCTCCAGTTCTGTACACTTGAAGTAGCTCTTGGTCCCTGTGCCATAAAATGCGCAAATGTATGCCGAGTCTTCAACGCATGATCGCATACGTATTCCTCCTTGACGCAGTTAGTGAGCTAGGAATCAATCCGACTACTTTTGTCCATCATAATATCTTCTAGACCCATACCTCGCAAGAAGCATTGTGTATATATTGCACTCCATCATTGCAACTCAAAGCCGGGATTTCACTTCACTGTCCCAACAAGAAACTTGCAATACGTCCATCCACAACTGCTACATCTACCACACCGTCAGAATGATTTTCGAGAAAGTATGGTCATGGGAGTGCTCGTTTGATCAAAGTATTAATCCCTACTACCAGCTTTTGCGCACAACTCTATGGGAAGTGAACGTTTGAATGGTCGACCGTTTGTATTGTGAATCTATAGCTGAAAGTTACAAGCAGAAAACCGTGTATAGGGTAAGGAGTAAAGAAAATTACTCGGGTTTGCTGGCTTAGCCCAACCCTCTAAAGTTGTAAATTTAGATAGAAAAGCATCGAGATCCGAGTCGGCGTTGGGCTGCTGGTATTCAACTGACCATGGCCGTTTAAGGCCAAGATAGTATCGGTTGTCGGCATCCATTTTAAGCACCACAAAACAGTCCACAAGGAACCCCCATATAACTTGGTCTATGTCCGAGGGTGCGAAAGCTGTCATGTTGTTAAGAAAAACTAACTTCTTTTCGCCACATGCAACGGCGCCTAACGTCGCCCACTCGTCGAAGGGGCGTAATCTTCGTGATAGAAGGACTCCCTCCCTGTAACGCAAGCAAATCCAAGTAAAAACCCACATGAATGACTCCACATCATGGCGATATAGGTGTTTCACTTTGCCTCGTTGACCATCTTCGGTGAGAAGCTCGCGCGCCATGAACGGCACCGTGCCCGTGCGCTCGTTACCCCGAGGACCTTGGTCATTGGCCAACGAGGAAATATCATAGTCATTTAAGACACCAATGCGCTTCTTGTCTTTCCAGTACCACATTAGGTTGCCAGGGCTGACATCTCGATGATAGACCCCTTCCTTCCACAGAGTAAGGTGGCCTGCAGGCTATGTTAACAACGAGCCATGTAAACTCGACGAAAGACGTACATGAGATACACTGACGCCAGACGTCGAAAAGCTCTTTCCCCTGAAGTTTCGTGATGGGGAGAAGCTTGCGGAATACAAGAATGTAGAGCACGCGACTTCCCGTAGTGGGTTCAGGAACACCGAGCGCTTCTCGGATGGCGGACGTGGGATTCATGAACCTGTGGTGCCAGAGCAGTTCGGGGATATAGTCTTTTACAGTATCGTGCACCTCAGCAATCTCCCTAACCTTGTTCAAGATGTCCGGCTCGCTAGTGCGACTCGCATCCCCCCAGAAGATCTTGGCCACCATCCCATCCTGGAAGTTGCCGTATTTCTTCATGAGCGTTTTGCTGGTGACAGCGACCACATTAGTGGCCCGTCCTTGCAGTCCGTAGTGAGTCACTCTTTCGTCGTCACTGGTGTGAAGCAGCAGATCCACCATTCCAAGATCTTCATCCCTGACTTTGTGGCATAGTTTCCCCTCAACTTGAACTGGGAGGAAGTCTTTGTTTCGGCCCCAATCGTGAAGGTCAAATCATTGTAGAGCATACAATAACACCATGAATCGCGGGAGATCTTGAATGAAGTTTATGCCTGAGCATTGAATGATGCCTTGTCGGTCATAATACCAGATCCACATTACATCGTCTGGAAAAACTTTGATAAGAGCGTGACCAATCTCAACAGACGAACGAACTCACCGACGATGATAAGATTCAGTAGATGATTGACTCCAAGATTAGCCGCAAACATTTCGGCGGCATACAGACCCGTTTGGACGGTCACATCTAGATCCGCCTCCGCGTCTGCGTCTGCGTCGCCAGGGTTCATCTTGGATTTTTTCGCGGCGGATTCTAAAGTGTCCACGGCCTTGCGCTTGGAACTGGACCTGCCCTTAGAAGGCTGCGCAGCAGTGAGGCCAGAAGATGGCACTGCAGCTTGGCCGATTTAATTTGATCGCAGAATCTTAAATGTAATAATAACTTACATGCAGTGTTGGATGCAGGTCGTGTTACTGGGATCTGCGAAGGGCCTGGTACCGGATCTTCAGCCTGAAGATGATCCACCGGCAGATATTCTGGCTTGGTAGGGACATAGTCTGTTACTGTATACGAAGAGGGTGGTGACTTAATCCCTTTCGTCCTCCCTAGTGTCTTTCTCTTGAACTCAATGCAAGCTAGAACATCTTTCCAGAGGAGATTTTTTGGTTTTGTCGTTGCATTCGTGTCCATATGAGCCCTGCGTTTCTTCTTGCGCTTTTCGTCATTCTTTTCATCATTCTTCCCGTCGTCCTTCTCTACTTTCTGTTCGCCCTTCTTGCCGCTCTTCTCATCCTGGAAGGGAGCGCATGTGCTGTCCAAAGGAAGAATCACGAGGTCAGGCTTCCGAGTTGATTTCTTAGTCTGATGAGTTTGGTGCATGGGCATGTCGTTCTGCTGGCATATCATGTCCACTGCGGGAACAGGAGCACCCATACCGTCACCCTTGATCTCTGCGAGACACGCGAGAGCGATGTTAGTGGCCCTTATGAAAGGGCCGTAGAAGCTGTTTTCTACTCCTGGACATACGCTTGCAGTCATTGTGAGCATGATCGCCGAACTCAAAACATGCACTCACTATTCGTTGAGGGCTATCTCGACGTCAGAAGAGTTTACGAGAGCAGTGAAGGCCTGCCCATTACAAACAGGTAGGACCGCCTTGAGGCACTTTTGCAGAAGCTCGGGCTGTTCAGTCTCGGGAGCGGAAGAGGCGCGCTGCAGAAGGGCTTGCAGCATGGCATCTGCCTTGCACTCCTTAACCTGTTCAATATCGCGTTGAATCCATGGGCGGAGTTTCTTAACCCTTGATGGAATGTCAGGTGTTGCTCGATAAAAACAGGAAAGGCGCGCACTGGACACCGACCAGGCCAATGTTCTCACTGACGACGAAAGCCCCACGGCTGTTTGGTGTGGATTCTATTTTGCTAGCACCATGAGCTGATGCATTGGCGCGTGGAGGAGTAGACAATGTGCCAGTCTCGCCTGCAGGGGACATGACGCTAGGCGCTCAATGATTACGCTGATTGAGTGTTGCGAGCAGAATTGGTGAGGAGGAAAGACAACAGAAACGACTGCCTACCTTACATCCGGTCAACCAGTGTGGCGTAAATATGGTGGACCTTTGATGAATTTGATGTGTCAGATGTGGCCCTACAGTAAGTTCGACTCCGACAACGCGTTCCCATCAATACGCGCACGTGACCCTGACTTATTTGTTTCCTGAAAGTCACCGTATCATATGATATAGTAGCACTAGCTAACAGATACTCTAGTACTCTGTCAGTTTGTCAGGAATAAGATCGATAGCAGTGCGCCAGCTGGTTCAAAGGACTCCGCATCAATAATCTCATTCTAACTTCAATCATGATACTCGCTCCGCCGAGTCCCTAAGAAGTGAGTCAAGTTCTTCTAAGAATCGATTCATATTCTCAGAGTAGAACGGAGTCCGACACTCGCGCTATGGTCCACAAAAAGAAGACACGACTCAGCCACCATTCTCATCCGACACAATTGTTGCCCCCTTTTAGATCCCTGTGCTGCGGCGCCATGTTACTCTTAATAGACATTCCTGTGTATCCTAGGTAATGTCGAACAATCAATACATCTGATCCCTCGTAGGAAAAGTCTCAGCATCTCGTACCCTCGCTCGTATACTCAGGACCCTGAGGAAGAGCAATCCATCAGGTGCTTCTGCGCCCTCGAGTTCTGTACCCTCGAAGTAGTCCTTGGTCCACCCAAGAGTTGGCGCAAAGTACAAGTCTGTTTGACTGGGCCCATCAGGAAAACGTCATCTTACTTATTTTGTATTTGGACCACCATACAAGCTTGGGCCTGCGAAAAGCCTGGAGGTCAGGCAAAAGGGACATGGCTGTTTACCGGATGAAAGCGTTACTAGGATAAAAAATGGGTATTATATTCGGAACACATAAAGTAGGGGTATATATTCCAGTCCATAAATCAGAAGAAACACAAAGAAGTCCATTGTCGAACACACGACGCGCAAGAAACAGCAATACGACAAAGCTTGAAACAACAGGAGAAACAGTCTTCCACGACTGAACACAAGAAGTGAAATCAAAAAGGGAAGTGGAAGGATAGATGTGCGAAGCTATGCACTAGTTTTTTCATCCTGCGGCGCGTTAACGCAGCACAGGGATTTTCGAATTTTCTTGGGCAAGGGTCGAAAGGGCGAGTAGGGAGGAAAAGAGGGACCCATGTCAAAGGATGCCGAGGTCGAAGAAGGGGAGAGATGCAAAACGAGCGACCTGGCGAGAAAAAAACACACAGCAACCACCCTACAGAAAGTCACAACTCAACACCTAAACAGGCAGCGTACGGGGACAAGAAAAAGTGGATGATAAAGAACGCCCCGGGCCAAATGTGGAAGACAGTACTCGCTGAAGTGGTGTCGGGCTTGATGAACGAGCAGCGCTCGGTGCTAAGGACGAATTAGGATGCGCGAGAAAGAGAATATTGAGATGCTGTGCAGACAAGAGAACAGGGAAGAAAGTAGGTGAAAGAGATAAAGCAGGGGTATATGAGGCAGAATAGGCACCGGTTGCAGATCCGAGAGCTTCGAGTGGAATAGGGCCTAACCAGAGCAGGAGAAGGGTTCAGGACAACAACCAGCAGCAAAAGAGGGAAGGGCCTCGAGGGTACGGCGACAGCACCTAGGCAGTGAGGTCAAGGGTCTTACGTTCATCTCCGACCATCACATGAGCACTAGGAATAGGATGCCAGAGGCGACTGATCCATCGCTTGAAGCCCGAGCTTCGAGACGGGGAGCAAATTCCTTTCGGTGATAGATGCGTGGGAGATGCAACAAGGGTCGCGTTAGGCGATGGAGTAGCGGGAGAAGGCGATAGGGTGACGTGTAAACTCTTTCGCCCCGGACAAGGCCTCTCTCTTCGGTCGACGCGGCGGATGAAAGACTCAAGGCTTCGCACAGGAACTGGACCAGAATAATTGTCGCATGGCTGAGGTTGTGGAACACCTTCGCCCAGAGGTGTATTACGACGCACGAAATGCCGAAACGACCAGTTCGATGAAGCACGCGAGATCTCAGCAGCCCCAGAAGCCCAATTAGCACGTAATTCGTCGCCGTCCACCAACGTAGTCCCAATCGTTGCACAGGCAGGACCAGTGGTTTGCTGTTCCTTCTTTTCCGGCGGCGGTGGGCGGGAGAAGAGCTTGGCAGCGATTTTCTGAAGAACTTGAATGCCATTCTTAGCCTTGATTCTCCACAAGGCTTGAGCGCGGTGACGCTCGCGCTTCAAAACCGGGGAAATGAAATTGAAGTTGGGCAGCGGGTCGTTCGATGGTTCGCACTGGCCAAGCGACATGGGAACTGTAGATGGCGTGTCTTTCTCTTCAACCACGGGAATGCAAAGCAGAGGAAGGGTTCGTTTCTCAACTTTCTTCCAGTCGCTAAAACCATATGAGCACAGGAGTCGAATGATCAGAGCGGACTCTTACATTGACGCAAAGAATGGGTGATTAAGCATAGCCTCGTACAGAGGCCTACTTTTGACATCTTTTTGAAGCATCTGTACAAACGTCAATAACGCTGAATGGACAAAAAAACACAGTGAGACGTACGTTACGTAGGAGATCTTGAGCCTCAGGATGGAAATCGCTAGCAAAGAAAGGCTCAAACTCAACAATGCCATCGGCTATGTGAAGGCCGTCAACTGTGGCCCAGGGAGTCTAAACCAAAGTAAGCAATGATGCATCAAAAAATTCAAGACTTACCCTTCCGGTGAGCATCTCATACAACATGACACCCACCGCCCAAAAGTCGATTGCAAAACCATACTTGGTACCTAGGATAAGTTCAGGCGCCATATACTCTGCGGTACCGCAGAGTGAACTCGCGAGGTAGGGCGCTTGCGATAGACTGGTGAAAGTCCCCGTGGGATTGTAGGGAGAAAACGATTTCGGATCGTCGAGCGTGAAGACCTTGGCTAATCCTAGATCTGCGATTACGAGATGACCATGGGAGTCGATAAGGATATTTGAAGGTTTGATATCCCTGTGGATGACTCCTTGACAGTGGAGATGATAAACACCAACAAGCTATTTTGGTCAGAATGCAGATCACAACTTTAGAAAGAACACTTACGAGTTCCGCTGTGTAGAACCTTGCTTGTTCGACTGGAAGAATCCGGCGCGGATAAGTGCGAATAACGTCATGGAGATCGCCTCCTGGATAGAATGCCTATCATAGAGCGTAAGCCAATCCAACTACGCATGTGCGGTCACTCACAAGAGCTAGATAGAGGTATTGTGCGTCCTGAAAGCCTGCCTCGACTTGCATACAATGAGCATCACCTATGACCCGCTTCAGGGCATCCAGCTCAACTCGAAATTGCTGGAGATCGCATAAAGCCGCGCCCTGCCTCCTGATGACTTTCAACGCCATGGTCTTGTTCGTAATCTTGTCTTCGACACGGTAAACGACGCCGTTTGCGCCAGCACCGAGCCTTGCACGGACGATAAAGTCACTGAGGCTTGTTTCATTCTTGAAATGAGATCGTGGTACAAGTCCATTGGCGGAGCCCGTCAAGGCATCGAGAACTGTTGTACCGAACATGTTCTGATTGAATGGCACCATGCGATTAGTAGCATGAATAGGACTCAAGATGTCCATTGCCTATAGCACCCCGTAAATAAGCACCTCTGAACGTCATGAAGTCTTACATACTTTGCGGTCTCTGGCAAAGAACACCTCGATGAAGTCCAAGACAAATAATCTTCTCCTGATATCGAGCACATCTGGGTCGTGGTACGCATCGTCAAGCTCTTCAAGCGCCTCGGTCTCTCCCACGGTGGAATCCACGGAGGTGAGGACAGGAGGAAGGATACCAGTCGCAGAGATCATGATGCTCGCGCTAGAGGGCCACGCGACGACGGAAACAGCGTGACCGCCAGACGATGAACCAGACATGTCATATTTAGGTACCAGGACGCGGTTGACTTTATTGAAGGCAAAGGAGTTCTTGGTTGACTTGATGCTATTCCATGCCTTGGACAAGGACTCGACCTTGAAAGCGTCAGTATGGATGATGAGAACGAATACGACGGATACTTACTGGCTTGGTGATCAGGCATTCACCGGCTCGTCCCTCGTAAAATAGTTGAAGAGCGGCCATATTGCGAGCTTGATGTGAATAAAGAGTGTCAAATGTAGAAAGAACGTCGGAAATGCAGTCGATGGTGAAGATGGCGGATGAAGAATTTCATCGACAGAAAGCGGTCTTTTATTAATGTCTGCCCCGGGCTGAATTGCGACGAGTACCTTGAAAGCAACAGTCAAAAAAAGTAATTTGGATTCAGACTGCTTGGCTGGACTCGAAGTTGCTTGATGGCATAAAAGAACGATGAAACTTACCACAGCAATGGATGGTGTCGTTGAAGATGTATCACGGTGTAAGACCGGTTTAAGACATCCACTTGAACATTCTGCTCTAGACCGAGCATCCCGCAGGGGACGATGACATTGAGAATCCAATGCAGAGCAGAGGGAATAAGTAATATAGATGACAACTGGTTGCATGTTCAGCAAGAATTGTCCTTGCACCTCGAAGGTCTTGTCAACAATCCTAGTAGTAGACCATCAAAGTATGAAATAACTTGGAAGATCAGCCATATCAATGCTGCATTATTTGAATCATGCCGCGTCAATACGTGCACGAGACACGACTGTCTGGTTGAGAATCAGCCGATCAGTATCCCCGAAGAATTTTGGGAAATGACCTGCCTGCTAGGCTGGTAGTACCACTGCCAGTGAGTACGTAGATCGTGCATACATCGAGAGCGACTCCCTGTGAGGGACAATTGGGTACAAGACTATCACACTTATTTGTTAATTTGTTAACAAACCTCATGGCAGAGATATTGAGTAGCACTTCTAGGGTCTGCAGTGGCGGCGGCGGCTGGCAGGAGAGCATCATCAAATTAAGTACTCAACATCACGATAAATGATGCCAAATAATTGATCTGCTTACATAATAGTCATCGAAACTTTTTTGCGATCCCATCAAAGTCCCACTACAGCTGCTCTCGAGTAAAAAGTCCTCAGCAATGGCGACGCTAGTTACGCTACCTTCCCTGCCTCCAGCCTGGTCTCCACCCTCGGAGCCAGCCTCCTCCATCTCTCGTGAGTCTCTCTCGTGATTATCTCACTCGATAACATATCCTCATTCACATAGCCCTTGTCCAGCGTAGGCTCATTCCTGCGGGCGCAGCCTACCTGGCTCACATAAAACGCACACTCAACAACCATACCTTTGATGAGTATGACCAACAGCTCGAAGAGGAGCGGAAGCGCCTCGAGTTGCTTAATGCTGATGGCCTGAACGGGGAGGATGACCTTGGCGTCGGAGATGAGGAAGAATCTCCTGAACTCCTTCTGCTTGATGCAAAGGAGTGGAAGGTGTGCATATCGGGTCTTGTTTGCTACGATCTAAACTCTATATATCATTTGTAGAAACAAGACCATTATCAGGTCCTCGGATTGTCACACCTGCGATACAAGGCGACGCCCGAGCAAATAAAGATTGCCCGTATGTGGCGATGTTGGCATCCTCGGACTTTCTGACGTATCGCTACTCCACAGATCGCAAGAAAGTTCTCAAACACCATCCAGACAAGAAAGCCGGTGCATCGCACACCACGAACGATGATGCGTTCTTCAAGTGCATACAAAAAGCAAATGAAGTTCTCACGAATTCTGAGCGGCGGCGCCAATTCGACTCTGTCGACCCCATCTGCCTATCCCTAGAAGAGGATGATCCTTCTGCCTCTGACTTCAAAGGCCGAGAAAAAGACACTGCGTTATTTTTCAAAACATTCGCACCTATCTTCGAGAGGGAGGCACGATTCAGCAAGAAAATACCCGTTCCAATGTTAGGCGAGAACGACGACTCAAAAGAGAACGTGCATGCCTTCTATGATTTCTGGTACAACTTTGACAGCTGGCGATCATTTGAATATCTGGACAAGGAGGTGAATGAAGGTAGCGATAAGTAAGTGATAGGAGCCACGAAGCCGTGCCTTTTCAGCTTATGAACTTCTTCCGCAGCCGTGATGATAAAAGGTACACCGAGAAAAAGAACAAGTCTGAGCGCGCTCGTCGAAAGAAAGATGATATTACTCGTCTGCGTAATCTCGTGGACCTTACTCTTGGTCTTGACCCTCGAATCAAGCGGATCAAACAGGAAGAAAAGGAGGTTCGGGAGGCGAAGAAGAAAACAAAGGGCGGAATGAGCGCTGCTGAACAGAAGGCTAAAGCAGAAGAAGATAAGCGTAAAGCTGAGGAAGAAGCTCAAAGGAAGGAGGAGGAAGAGAAGGTAGCGCGGGCAGAGGCCAAAAAAGCAAAAACTGCGGCAGCTAATGCAGCCAAAAAGGCAAGAAGACAGCAGCGCGCCGCGGACACCGATGAGGCTGCACCGTCATAAAATTATCCAGGTAGTTGTCTCATCCTGATACCATGCACCTCCATACTCTCACCGCTGCGGAATGTCATAAGCATTGAGACCGCATTTGTGTTTTGGAAATTCTGCTTGTAAAGAACGTTCTTCTTTGACAACAGGCTTCGAAGATGTAATATACTTACATGTACCTGTAAATGGGAGTTCAGGAAGTGGAAAGAAGGTAGGTAATATCCGATGGGTGAAATTACAGGTGTCACAGTTTTCTATCCCAGCTCGCTGGAATGAGCCGTCGCAACCACCCCTGGCACGCGCCCAAAGCACAACAAGGAGAAACATTACTGCAAGGCAAATAGAACCACCGCGAGGATGGCAGGTTGTGATAGATTGGAAACTCGCGGACAGGGTGGCAGTGACGTTAACGTGAGTCAAGTATCGGACCATTGTCTCGATCCGTGACGAAGGAGTGAGATGATTGATCTAGTCGTGATTGACATGATTCAAGACAAGACCGCCGATCAGAATTGATGAAGATTAGCTCGCGTATCACCGAGTCGCGTCTTCAAGTGTGGATACATATCAGAACATAGAAGCTTAAGACCTCCCATCTGGAAACCGCGCGCTCGATTACAAGTGTTCCAGGAGATTGTTCTTGGGAGATACCGGCTCCAACTTGAAGGTAAGATGTGAATGTTTAGCAACGTTTTGAACACGAATAACATTGGGCACGGGAATGCCACGGAATCCAAGTTCAAAGTTTCAGCGGTTGTCAGAGGAAAACCAAAATACAGCAACAACCGGTCCTGTAGCAGAAAGAGCTCAATCAGCGGAGACCATAACTTGGTGCATGCTAGTTCATGTTTGGTCGTTTATTGTTCTTTGTTTGGATTTCGTGGCAAAGAAGAGATGCGAGTAGGTCGATTAAAGGATGGGCACTCCGGCCCTGTCAACCTTCGTCAACAGTCTTTTTCTTCCTATTTTATGGTCCTTAAAGACCCTCTTGCCTTCGTACCGATGTTTCTCATATCCCGGTAACCTACACCTTCACGTCGCGGGCGGTGAAGTACCACCATTTTGTCCGGGACGGTACTACTCCTTGTATTTTTTTTCTTACCAATATCATCTACAAACATGGTAGGAGACCCAACCAATCGTGTTTATCGCCATGTCTTCTAATCCATCTATCATTCAGGTTCTCGTCAGTGATAAGAAATATGCGTGGTATGTCTTTCATTACGTCCTAACCCCATCATTCGTCCTCAGATGTACACTTTCCAGTGAAACGTGCATAAAGGGGCATCGCTCATCCGCATGTAAACACACGGATCGCCCCCTTTTCGAAATTAAGAAAAAAGGTCGTCCAGTCACTCAGTGTGAGCACTGTAGAGAACTACGAAAAACAAAACAAGTACACGTCAAATGTTCATGTGGATCTCAAGATCAAGGCGCCACTGGCGTCCACGAGGCGTCCCACAGCAAGAAGGGTACGCCTCATTTGTTGCTGAAATTAATCTGTCTTATCTTTAAGGCCCCTTCTTTTTATCTAGTGACGCCGAAGTTACCGGCTACTGCTGCGTTTCCTCATGGCCTTCCCGAGGCCCTTGAAACGCTAGCTACATTGCTACCGGCATCGGACGACTCAGACCATAGCGGTAGGCCCGAAGCGCCATATTTTTCTCGTCATCATCTTCAGTATTGACTTTAAATAAGGTGAAACTTCTCCAACTGGCTGTAGATGTAGCTCCGGTGGCCCCTGCAATTGCTGTATCCCTCGCAAGCCTGTGACACGCCGTCGCTTCTCTGGTGCAGAGCCTCCTAAACGAGACAAGCTTCATTCAGACTCCTCAAAGCACCACGAATCCCTATCTCCTCCTCTTTCATCCCACGTTCTAGCGCGCATTGCTGAGCTCCGTCCAGTACTTCCAAAACCGGCTCACAGGCAACACCCTCTCGACGGCTCCTTACATAATCCATCTTCGAGTGTCCCTCACAGTCATAACATCCGCCATCATAACTATGACTTCAGCCCTTACGGTCGCGCTTACGGGTACACTCACTCAGATCATATTCATGATCAAAAAGGGTCGTCATTGACCAGTGATCCCCGCACGTTCGCTGGGCGCTCTGTCCAATCCCCACAGCAAACACTGGGAAGTCAGCATGTACCAGATGCCTGGTCGCCTGCTGAGGTCTTCCCCTCTGTCTGTGCCTGTGGTGACTCATGCATGTGTCCTGGATGTACCTTGCATAACAATCTACCTATCACTGGTGGTGCTACCTTTGCCTCCTGCAGCAATCCATCCTCCTGCGCCTTTTGTCTCGATTGTACCATACTGTCCATACCAGCAAGCAATCCGCCTCCTAACATCGAACCGTCCTCTGATCCATCACAATCACAAGAATTTGATGAATGGCTCAGACAGGTCGCACTTAGCCCGGGTGTCTCAAATTCGCAATCGAATTTCAACTCATATGAACTGACTACGTCTCAAACACAATCCTATCAAAGCGGAAGACCACGGATACCCGAAACTCCGTCCCCGCCGGTGGGGTGCTGCGGTGGGCGGTGTAAATGTTCTCGTAATTGTGCTTGCCTTCCAGACTGTTGTGGGTGCTGTCAAGGTTGTCAGTGTGATAATCACTGTAATGATGCGCGGTCTCGAACGACGTTCGCGGTATCTGGTGAACGGGGTTCATGTTGCAGAAAGGCTGATCCAAATACGACCACTCATTCAGCTGGGAGGCGCCTTCCTGAGTTCATGGCTATGACGAATATCCGTGACCAGTTGTCTGCCTCCGGGGTGGGCGCTGGCGGTCAAGGGTACTATGGTCAGCAGGGAGCATTTGTGGATTACTCCGAGGCTCCGAGTCGGTCGTCCTCTGGTTCCTCCTTGGCAAGTCGTGTCCCAACGAGACCTCCATCCGGCCTGGTGAGTACCCGAGGTTGTCCGTTCCAAACTGCAACTAATCTGCAGTGCTCACGATCCTATAGGGCTCTAGGCTGCTGGGGCAGAGTGGCCCTTCTAGTAGTACCAGATCGCCGCCGGCACACGTCGTACCTTCCGGGAGTATCCGTGGTTTTGCTACCTATGCAGAGTCCGAAAGGGTTCGTGGGGCTGCGCCGTACTCGAGCTATAACCCGTCGCTGGATGCAATGCGCTTCGACTAGGGAGGTCTGCCACCGAGTGAATTCTTATGGATTTGATGTTATTGTCCTTTCATTTTTACGTCGTACTTTCCAACTTCTTGTGGCTCACTGGTTTACTGATGGACATGCAGTAGCCGTGATTGCCCCTTATCTATATTTTTTCCCACTATGTTTTTTGCCTTTCTCGACAATACGTCTCGCTCAATGGACACGATAGAGATCATCTACAACGTCTACTGAGTTTTTTTTCGTTACCATACATAACTTTCCGTGTACGTTGCTATAAATTTTACAATTGTCCATCATTGGCCGCGCGGTTTGTACGACGGCGTTCATTCTGACCTAGCGTCTCCAAGATCAAGTTTATTTTCATTAAAGTCAGCACAAAACATCCATTAATTCCATCTGGTCCTCCTGAGAATGGGTCAAGACATTTTCCTTGTCCTGATTAGTATGGCTCTCCGCTTCTGAAGACTGCAACTGCTCCAATAACACACGATTGTGGTTCTCTACATCGATCTGATATGAAAAGTCAAGTAAGTATTTTGGCATGCGAACAATATTTGACATGCCTTGATCGGCGGAGGCCACTGGAGATCCAGTAGCTCGGTGCCTTCTGGCAACATTTTGGAATACAAGAGAAGGTAGGGCCCTGCACCGAGATGCAGGCCCACCGAGTCCTCCAAAACATTTACCTCGGATACCTTTGGTGTGTGTGAACTTCACGACAGGTAATCATCAAGGTCTCACATACCTGGCTGATGGATGTATCCTCTATCCTCCACCATACACCCTTCTCTTGTACATAGGAATAGAGGTGCTTCCTGCCATACAATCCGTCGTGGACTAGTACTGCACGGAGATCATACTACCGACGGAATGAGAGACTGTCCTGGCTAGGATGCGATGTTAAGAAGGTGACTTACTCTGACGCGTTGGAGCTCGGGGCAATCTAGGAGCGTTCCAGCTTGGTCACGCATCTTCGCGATGTTGATATCCGAGACTATGAGGGATGTGGACAGTCAGCAGCCTGCCAAGGAAAAGTACCTGCGCGTTACCTTGAATTTCCTTCTCTACCTGAGCAAGGATACCCTTTAGTTTGTTAGCCATAATTTGGGTAACACGAGCACGCTCGTCATCGCCCTTCGCATCTGCCACATCCTCGTAATAATATATCGATGACCGCAGGTCCGTTAGGGTGTCTTTGTCCTGGGAACCAGTCCAGGTCAGTGCATGGGGCGACACAGCGAGTAGCGAAGGACGAACATTGAAGTGTGTCAAGGACTTGTTATGCAACACCAGCTTTTGAATTTCTGCATGAAGGTCCCGCTGCTGCGCCCTCTTGCTCTCTGCAAGCTCAATATTTTCCTTCAGAAACTGGTCGAGATAGATGTGCTTCGGATATTTAAACGACTTGCGCTCGCCCGTAACAGTGCCCGAGCGTGCGAGATGAAACGCAATCACCTCCGAGGGCTCGAAGATAACTTGGCGTTTTATATCATCCTTATTATTGGAAAGCTGCGCGGAAAGGCGACCGACGAGGTCATTCGTGTCGCTCCGTCCAAGGGCTTCGACACGGACGATGGAAGCATCTTGCAGGAGCTCTCCGGGTTCGTCATCGAAATTGCTGTTCCCATATTGGAACTGCATGATGCGCTGTCTACGCATTATATGTAAGTGAAATAGAGTAGAGTAGTCGATGCCACGTAGTACTTTGCCTGTCCGGTACGAATGAATTCATGAGCGAACACTTTGTCGAGGGCGCCTGCTACCTTTTCGAAGAACCCTAATTTTCCGTTGATTATAACGCATACACCCAGTTCAAAGAAACGCACGTTGAGATAGCTCGCCTGGCGGTTGCGCAGGGTTCGACCAGGGCTCAGGCTTGAACCCCTCCAGCACCTCATGAGCGTCCAGGTCTACAAGCTTTGCAAGATCCATATTGGTGAATGTTTCGACGAGCTTCCACATGAGGAGCTCTTAAATACTATTAGCAGCGACTATAGAACAATACAAAACAGTCACCTGGTCCATTCTTTGGAGGTTCAGCTTCCGTTGCGCCTTCGGGTAGAGCTGGCCGCCAATTTGCAACGCGTTCACGAATCTGTGGAACATAGAAGAGCGCATGCAGAACCAGAGCTGCGTAGACCATCGTATGTTTCGTTGGACGTAAAGTGACAGGCCTGCAGTGATGCCTTCAATAGAGGGAGATGAATGAGTTAAAGACATACCAGCCTTCCTTCCGCCATTGCTGATCGAGGGGTAAAGGTTGGTATTCGTCGCCAGTATCAGCCTGCTCGAAGCTAGCTTGTATAGCGCGATCCAGGTCATCCGCGGCAACATTATTCTGCTCAACAAAGCATCAATATAAAGGCAATAACATGAAGCACAGTCTTACCTACATTCGAAGGTACCATCGCCCAATTGGCGTCAGGAGGCCTTTCGCTTGGTCCAAATATCGGACCCTCTTGAGAGGCTGTCTCAAGTGACGCTTTCAAAGCGCGCGATAGTTCGTCATTATTGTCGTCGTCACCCGTGAGGTCGATATTGATTGGTGAGTTTGGGCGAACAGCGGGAGCAGGCAGCGGTCTGGGCTGGTTTATTTCCATCTGCGAGTGCGACGTCCACAACGATGATTGCGTGTCTTCTCCCCTGTCGCCCTCGATCATGGCAGAAGCTGCTTTCTCTACATCGCCATCGAATTTCCGTAAGACGCGCCTGGCCACTTCATGGTCCACGCTTCCATCCATCAACGCGATTAAAAGTTCAATGTTATTGGACTCTTTCGCCTCATCGCGAAGGTGCATACTTTGCAGACTTGCGAATAGATTAAGTTAAGTGTGCTGATGGTAGTTGGCTGGCAGAGTGGATTGCGTTAGTATCCAACCTTCTGGAGGCTTAGTGGCCCACGGACATATCAGGCATTTTGATTAAGCGGTTTAGCTCAAAGCATAGACGCCTACCGTGCACTCGTTGTTTTCAATCATCACAAAACATCTCAAGATCTCAGGTAAGAGTCTACGAGTCATGTATCGCTATCCAAATCATGCATTTTGGTATATTGAAGGCTTTGTTGTCGGCACCAACATTTTATAGTAGAAACAATGTCAACCAAAGTGCCCGAAGGAAGTAAGGATATAACACATAAAACACATAAGAGATAAAGTCCTTTCGAAGTGGATTATACAGATAAGCAAGAGGACAGGAGGGATACAACGAGGGAGTACTAGCACTGCGGTGAAAAAGAAACATTTTGGGGTGTCTGATAGGATGTAATACATTAGATTGTGAGAGAAGAGGTCATCTACTAGTATTTCTTGTCCGTTCGGGTAAATGTGGTACAATCCACTCCATTAAATTAAGATGTAGGATTATCTGTGTAGGGTATCAGGATATTGCTCCTTCCTCGTGATGCAAAACACTCACTGTAAATACCGCCATACTGAGCACTCATATATATCGGATCCTGTGGCGGCTGCTGCTGTTGCTGTGGATGAGACTGGCTATAAGCCATCCCCATCTGTGGGAACGATGTATAGTCATTCCAAAATTGCGGATACCGCCCCATCCCAGGTTGATCACTGGTATATGTACCAGATCCGCCCCCATGCAAAGCCAACCGCGCTTGTCCTTGATGCGAAGCCGAGGACTGCGAGTTCCCCGCCCGACGGCTGTCGACCAAGCCTGTGCTATACATCTGCGGAAGCACAGACGTAGACAATGTGCTCGGGAACGAGAGGTACGAAGATCCATCAGAGGTCCACGGATAGTACGATGACTGCGAAGTTGAGATAGGTGCCCCGGCAAAGTCAGCATGTCGCCCCGCACCAGACTCTTGAGAGTGACCGACATCATGTGACGTTCCGCTAAACTGAGTCGATCGCCAGGTGTTGGCGTACCCTTGTCCTGATCCTGGTACGTTAGACGAACTGCTTGAGGGTAGGACCTGCAAGTGCGAACGCTCGTATGCATCCTCTGAGTCTATTGAATGCTCAGCTGTCCGCTTCTGGCGATCCTGAGAAGTAAATGAAAGGCATGCTTGGCTAGCGTTCGAGGGATTAGCCATGACGTTTGAACCCCGAAGAAGCTCGTTGGCACGTGCTGCGGAGGGCCAGACGACTTCCATGTCTTGCAGTGCATCCATGCACCTGAATAGACCTATCCGCGATTGAGGGTCATTCGGGAAGATGGACGCTGTATATGGGATGAGAATATGATCGGCAAAAAAAACGAATAATGACTTACAGCTCGTGACATGCATAATACCCGCCGTAAAAACATAGAAGCAAAGAAAAACAGGGGCACGTTGCAGACAGTACTTTTCCCGATAAGATGAAACTGAATACATCTCACGTCAGAAATTGCTTGCAGAGGGGCAATAAAATAATTTACCGATAGATGAGATGTGGTTCGCAGCACCCACGCACAGCTCATAATGTTTCTTGCTCGTCGCACACGCTTCGGCATCATCAACACTATCCGATTTCCTATAAAAAAAATTAAGACCAGGAACGGGGAAATGTCAGGGCACCCACCCCTTATTTAGAAGGTACGTATTCCTTATGCTACATGCCCAGTTATTTTCAAAGGAATAACAAACAAACAAGAGGGAACTCACAAGGGGCGATGCAACAACAATGTCGTACACCAATACTGCATGTGTAATGTCAAGATATGGGGCGGAACAGTCGCGCCCTGCTTCAATTGTAGATGCTCCGGCAAATCGAGGTACCACTTATTCAGCAGCTCCTCAAGTTGTGCCACCTCAGCGTGCCGAGAATTCACGGGATGAATCGCGTACAACGACTGTACGAGCTTAGAAAGGATAGTTGCTGAAACATGGACTCAGCTATGGCATTGCATGGTCAGATGAAGATACTCACAGAGTTTCGCAGAAGCATTGAAGCTAGATAGCACGCGTCCAGTTATTGAACACTTTATCTCTGCACCAGGTGGATACCCATGTCCGCGGGAATCAGGCGGCAGCGACTCATGAGGAATCCACAACTCCATCTCCTCCGCCTGAGTTTTAGAGATACCCGTCAACACACCAGATTATAATTGATATAACGTATTCCCGTACCTCATCCTCGCCCGGTAAGAGTGTATCGTAATCTCGCTCGAAGATTGCAAGCGGCCTTCCGATATACGTGCTCACATACCCATCGAGCACAACACATCCCCACCATATCCGCCGCCGTTCCTGTAGCTCCCGGGGGCCGAACAGACGTCCGACTTCCGCACGGGCCCAGCCGTCCGCTGCCCGGTGCATACCGAGATCCTGCGCCATACGTACTGCCATGCCCGTGTACACCCAGGCTTGTGCCATGGCGCCAATGCCAATTTCGCGGTACCCGAGTAATAGAAGAGCTTGCACAGTACTTGGCATCGAGGATGCATAAGTGTTGTCGAGAAGTTTCTTAGCGACGTTAAAGTACTTATCACCTGCAGTCCACATCGGGGTTGGTTCTCGAACCGACGATGCTGATGAGGGGGGAGGAGGGGACAGTGGGAGGGAGGAAGATGGTGAATAGCGTTCAGCAATGGAAAACATGCTGAGGAGTAAAAGCGGAGAAATATTGCGACGGGCACGGTGGAAAGGTGACGGAGATTTCGAGCCCTGGCCATCGGACGCAGGCGACGGCGTATTAGCAGCAGATGCATTCGGGTGCCTAAAATAGATGTCAGTAGCAGTCGGAGGAAACTCGTGAGGTGACACTCACACTTTGTGACCCTCCCAGAAAGCCTCCTTGTGCAGGACCGGGAACGCCGAATGTACATAAGTAAAATATATCTCCAATAAATGCTCCTGAACAACTAGATCAGGCATGACGCTACTCAAATCTTTGTCCGTGACAGATAAACCCATCAGAGGGCTATTAGATGGGCTTGCAGCAGAATTTGTCAGCGCATCAATGCTGGGAATTACGGGCGACGTCATATTTGTGTCAGATGGAGGGAGTGGTGGCCAGACACGGGCCTTGGGGAAGCGCCTGTGACATATGAGACATTCATGCAGCACATCGGCGAACAAATCGCTTACCATATTCCCCCTTCATTCCGAGCTTCCTCCTTCGCATTATACCCCAGCAGGTAAAGACCACTTGCCTTTCCGTGATACCGGACTTGTTCGTCCTCGTTCAAGGAGAGCTGGCCCACAGCATCCGCGACGTCGTCTTCGTCCTCAGAATCCGTACTGGCAGGTGCTTGTGTTTGTGAGTGGTCGGAGGGATCCGGAGATGATGAAGAACCAAGTCGCCGGCGTTGACGTCGTCCATTATCGTCGAATGTAAGAGATGGCGAAGTTCTAGATTGCGAAAGTTGGATCGTGCGCGGGTTGTTAGCACCGGATGTAGGCGAGCGAGGTTGTGATGAAGACGGGTGGGGGAATGATAGAGATGATGAAAGGAGAGATACAACGCGATCCTGCCATTCATTTGAAGGGCTGTACAAAAAATATCTTCAACGTTGGTGAACATTGGGGAGAAATAAACTTACTGTGTGGACTGTAAGTCGATGCCACTGCCCTCTGTTGGAGTGGTATTATTTGGGCGTGGTTTAACACTACCACCTTTTCGTCCTTTGACACCATAGGAGGAGGTATCGACACGATTGAGGATCTCACGAGCAAGAGTGTCCTGATTGTAAATTTAAATTTATCAGTATGTGCGTTCAGTCAGAAATGTACGTTGTCAACAACAAATGTAAGATTGAATGTGCCGGGACGAGAAAAAATTTGGGGTAACCGAGGTACTTGTGAATATCGAGGGTGCAAATGAATGTACAAAAAAATAGAACATGGAGTCTACGAAAAACACTAACCTGTCTTAGGGTGTGCAACACATCCTCTAGGCCTGCAGCGCCGCCTGGAGGCGGCCTATCCGCTTCGCCATACCTGCATAAAATTAGTAAATAGTTTTCATTTACAAAAGTACGATTCAGATGCACCTTTCGCCATGCTCTGCCTCAACAGCGAGGAGAACACCAAGTAGGGCCTCAGTTTGGTGCAGCCGAGCTTCGATGGCGTCAATGTACCCCTTAGGGGGGCCGCGCTTGCGCGAAGGTCCGAGGAATGTACACGCTACATATTGGGTGCGATCAGATCAGAAAATGCCGAGAGCGAGTAATCGGATCATTGTAAGCATGAAGTGTACAGGTGTTGATGCGAAAACAACAGATGGTGACCTCAATTACGGACGAGGCGTATCGTATGTCAACAGTGTTCCAGAATGCCAGTCACACGTGGCAGGATGTCATTATCAAAGGCGGTTGCGAAGGCCACAAAAGGGAATTCATGATGTATGGTTGAAGAGGGTAACGAAAGGTGACCGCATTCAGGGTGGCGTCAAGTGGCACCGCGTTGATAGTAATGTGGATGGATACCAGGGAGTAGTTGAGGAGCCGCAAAATTCCAGAAATGGGGAGAGGAGGTAATGAGAAGGAAGGAGCGAGAAAGCATGGTCAACAGATTATCAGCCATGTAGAATTACGCAGACTTACGCGTCCCCAGCATGATGCAGCTTTTACAAGCCTCGCCATCTCCTGCGCGCTCGCATTTGCATTTGCTTTTGCGGCATTGATCACAAGCTGAAATATGATGAGGCATGGATTGAATAGACATTTGAGACAAATAGGGACAATACCTTTGCTGCTCCTTCTCCTAACGACTCTGTCCGAATAGCTAGATGAAGTAGCGGGCGCGCCAGAGGAGCCAGGAGGATCAGGTAAGTCGTCGCCATCATCGTATTCGTCCGGGAATGATAGTGAATTCAAGTCGAGAGCGGAATTTGCTGAGCGTTTGCTGAGCCAGGCGTCCTCCGGGTGTGCCATAGATCCGAAGCGGTAGTACGGACGGTCTGGCAGAGTGTTCGATGTTGTAGTAAAATTATGATTAACGTGCGCAGTACTGTTAGGCGCTGACGCAGAAGACGGAAAATGGAATGAAAAAGTGTGGGGTGGTGAGGGTGACAGATCAAGATAAGGTGAAGAGGATAATTCCGATTTTACACTGGCAGAATGTGAGCGTGCAGAGTTGTTACTGCCTGCACTATTTGGTGGATCAAGACCGTAATGTGGTGCCGGGTGCGAGTCTAGTATATAGTACGTATTAGTTGGGATAGCCATCACGACAATATGAAAGAGGAAGGGTTTGAAAGAGGACAGACTTGTTGGGTCCCGTATTTCAAAGATTTCTCGATCTCTTGCCAAGCCAACTGTGCGATCTACGAGCTGTGACGACGTCGCCCGGGTTCAACAACCCTTGATTCCAACTCCTCGGAAGGAGCGACCCTTGAAAGTCCATCCCCGCTTTCTGAGCAATATCAAGCCATCACTTACCGATTAATCGCTGCCCCAATGTACGTTATTTTGCGAAAGTCGTGGCGTCAGAAGCTTCAAGTTTCAAGTTGTTTGGATTTTTAATCTTCTTAGCACCGGCCAGGTAGTCAAGGTCACCTTGTCTCTCAACATGCGAACTTCATGCTTATTACAGAGTGATTCAGCCCCACTTGCTCCTTCTTCCCACTCATTTGGCCCATATGTTCAGTACGTTATTATTAGAGCAGCTTTATAACTTCGGTGCTCATCCGCTGAGCCCGAGGAGAATTTTATTTCTTCTATCGCCTTCAAGGGCGTCTCCACAGTGGTTCGAATGTGTTATTATGCTACCGGCGTACACTCACCGCTTTGTTAGATAACCTTTCACCAAGTAACTGGTACACCCCTTGGAACCCGATACCTATACAGACAACTCAGCAGATAATTTCTTTTGGAGAAGGCCGGGTAGCATATGGGTACGTTTTCGTTACCACTATCTTGTTAAGGAAACCCCCTCTAGTTTGCCTATGCCCTATGTCCGTGCCACCAAATCAATTTTTATCATTCAACGGCTTCCGAGGGCCCGTAATCTTCGCACTTCAACTTAGACATTTGTCATTCCGAGGATATTTATTCGCTCTAGCTCGGAAAAATTAACTTGGAGACGAGGTCCATGTTTTTTTTTTCGTTCTTGACATATTGGTGTCAGTCTAATTCACTCTGTAGTTTTTAAAGTGACATTGACGCTGGAAAGGATATCAAATTCCACCCACTTGCAAACAGCCTCCGGGTAGGAAGTCTTCCCCACGTGAACCGTCTCCGTCTCCATCATTTCCTACTTACCAGGTGGTTCTCGTTGTAGATCGCTTTCTTCTAATCATTGTTTGATCGTAATTTCCACTTTAGCAAGTTGTCTGGCCGCCGGTACCGTCCACCGCCTTCCGTCCAGGCACAAGTCCCACCAATTTGATTTGATTTTCTTAGTTCTCCGTCTTCGCTCGGCCACGTGGTTATTTCCGTCATCACTCCGAGATCGACCCGTTTCCTCCCGTTTCCAGTCTCCACCCAGCAACCAATCTCGTCGTTGCAGACACTTTCGACAGCCCTGCTGCAACGGGCTGCGCTCCACGTATATTGTTACACGCGCAGCCTCCACGCCTAACCATATGGGCCAATTTTCGAGCTACCTATGCTTTTGAGAATAATCAAGGCGACCATAACACAATAATTTGCGGCTTTGTGCGTGCATTCAATTAAAGCTAGCTCCGAGTCGAAGATTGCAAATCTAAAGTTCAAGACGACCAGGGACGTTATTCTTCAATTTCCCTGTTCCTATCCCCGATTTGAGATCTGTTAGGTATCCCGGAAGACGCACTCATGGTTGCCTATGCAGCACGAGACTACACCTGTAAGCACCATACGCACGGATCATGCATCATCGATCACCGCCGTGGGCGAAATCTAGTAAAGCATTCGGTGTTTTCTTAAAATCTTCCTTTCCCAGAATTACTCACTGTTTGCCGTAAGATCGAGGAGTTGAATTTGAATCACCTGTGCATTAACGTTATTGTGCCAGGGAAATTGTGTGCGACATAGCGCACGAATTTTGACTGGCTCATTTTCTTGCTACCTGCAAGGTCCGAGCTATCAATATGACGTCTCACTGCGCTCGGAAACGAACGTCAGTAGCTCGACAATATAGCATGAAGTCAGTCCACCTAACACCACCGAACAATGCCATACACCCATGCAGTCAAATTTCACAGTCGTGTTGTGAGATGAATTAGGCAAGCGCCAACAATACATTCCCGCTGTTCGCGTGTTAGCACAGTGCTGGTATAATGATGTTTGCAGATCTCGCCTTAACTGGATTGCAGGTTTACATCCACTTGCAGCCACTTCGCACGCTCCCGTATAGCCCATCAGTGCCACCAAGGGGACCACGTGGAAAGAAGAGGAGATAAATATCAGGATGAAGATACGTACATTTCGTCGATCGAGATGAGTTTCTTCGAGTTCTGTCGGCTAGAGGCCTGGCCCTTGTCATGTGGGGTGTGCGGCCAATCATGTCAAAGATAAATTATATACAGAGCAGGCGTACAAATGAGGCCTCATCACCTGGATACTAATCTCAGCCCTCCTACATCCGGAAGGATCCCTCCCGCGAAAAGCGACAAGTATGGTGCGGACAGCGCGAAATCCCCGACAAGAATGGAGCTTGGCTAAATCCGCGGGCTGGTTCCTGTTATGGTTGGTACAATGGTTCGCGGTATCCCTCCTTGTGACTTCCATTCTGGCAATCTCGCGACGTCATGCTGCGGTGTCATAGTTCTGATGATAGATGCTGAAACAAGGTCCTGCGGAGTGGAGCAGCCGTACGATAATCGGTCAAACGCGAAAAAGGGAAATAATGCCCGCGAACTTTACAGGGCATTCCGTCAACTACGCATAATTGGAGAAGTAAATCATTCCCGCGAACCACGCATGATTAGACAAGGAAACCACTCATCTGATCAGAAGGATAGATAATTAGATTTCGGTTCATTCCGGTTGCAGATGAGTTCCTGGACAATCTCGTAATAGGGCAAGCGAGATCCGGACGCTTGGGCAGTCGAGGGAGGCGAACTACGTATACAAGGAAACTTGCAGAGTCCATAACTAGTGTACTTTTGCTGAACCGGGAGTCGGGCTGGGAGATACATACGTATCAGCGGCACCATGGCATGTTTGCATCCATAGCTCAGTAAGTAGTGAATATCTATAACTTCATAGGCGACTCAAGAAGTGACTCTGGCAAATACGGCTCACCTAATTCAACTAAGGTAAAACTTGCTGCGACTTTCTTGGTAAATCAAGGGTGACTGACAATCATGGTACACCAATTCGAACGCGGAAAACCATCCCCGTCATATCACAGGTATGAAGTCAGAATTCTTTAATGGAACTGCCGAGGTTCAGAAGGCAAGCACCGCGTCAGGCTTCAACGCTGTGTGGTATGAAAGCGACATCACTGGAGTATGCACAGCACAGATAAGGTCCTGATCATGGTTAGATCTGGGGTTCAAGGTATGTATATAACGAAGCGCCTAGGCTTGCGTTGACCTTGGTTTGGACTTTTGATCAAAAAGCTATGATAACGAAAAGTGGGTAGCTCACTGCTTGGGTAGACTATAATTTCTGATCACATAGAATCTCCGAACCGGTAAGTGGATCCCGGAGAGTCGTGACTGTTGTTGTTCAAGCTTTGAAACCCATAGAAAATGAGAGAATAGAGTAGAGGTTGGTGGAATAACCAGGAAACATCCAGTCGAACGTTGGTGGCGCTCGGAGTTGTGTCACGGGTCTGTCCACATTTCATCATCATCCATGGCCGCAAACTTAGCTTCCAACCAACCGACTACGGTCGACTGCACCATAAAATCCTTTCGCTAATCTGAAGCTTATCGCTCTAATAAGCTACCATGTTTGGCTGTTGTGTTGCTGGTCGTCTACTGCAAACTGACCTGCAACAGGTGGATGAGACACATGCTCTCTTCGAGATCCCAGCCGCTGAGAAAGTCAATCATGTATGCGTGTTTTTACTTGGTACAGGTCAGTGTTTCATCCTCCATCCCTCCTTTGAATAACAATGACTTATCTCATACCGCTGATCTATAACGTAGTTCCATTTCCTGATGGATTTGGTGCAACTGTCCACTTTTTCTGGCCTGGAAAAGGTTCACAAATACTTGGCATGTGCGCTTACCTTTCATCAACTGAATGCAGAGAACATAGACCTTACTTACGAATTTCAGGTTATCGAACGATAAACCATCGGCCATATTCCGCCTCCGATCGGCCTTCTCTTCCACATCAGCACCCCCATCAGGGGTATCAACCCCTTCTGCGTTTACATCCGCAACTTTTTCCTCTACACCCGGTCAAGTTACTGCTATACTCGGATTTGCATTAGAACCTCTTGAAGCGATAGCCGCACAACTTGCTTCTCTCCCCCAAAATCAAACCCCGAACGCTATGAATATCACCCCCATCTCAACACCAACGTCGTCACTGGCACCAATAGCCAAACCTGCAGATCCATCGGTGCTCGCGGAGAAAATAGCTAAGCACCTGTTTAACTATATAGCGGGCTTCGTGCCAGCAGGAACGAATGTAGGTCCAGAAAGTACTGTTTCAATGGGTGTCATTGCTCGATGGTACGAAAGCTTTATTGGGAAGGTGAGGGCAGGCGGTGTCGGGTTTTTGGAACGTAATGAATAGCTTCTGCCGGGAATGAACATCTGATCTTCGATCGATTGTGATGAACTCGATTGCATTCGTGAGAGGTTTAGACGGCTGCCGCTCGCTAACTTTGATTTTAGTATCAGGGTATCTGACAAACATCAATCTGTGAGCCTGTGGTGGAGCGCAGTCGATGATCACGGGCCACGAATCACAGCATGCACGGGAGGTTCATGAACATGAATTTTGTTTACTGTGGTGTCATGATATCCTATTATTGGGGTTATGGGTGTGTTCCATCATATGGTAACTCACATCTTTGGTCAGGGGTTCTCAGCTGCTTCAGAACGATTCGTCACATTTGTCCTGCCTCGAATATGCAAGGAAGTGATTACTGGAGTCGTTTCGGGACCGAGCTATTGTATCCCAGTCAGCAGCCGACTAATTCTTTCGTACAACATTAATGGACTCGGACAAATAGCTAGAGTGTTCCGCGGCCTTTCGCATCAACTATGGGCTTGCAAACATGTGAAGCCCACCATCAGCCGCGGCCTGTGTAATGAATACGAGGTTCGTAGTACGGTACCGATCTTAATATTGTAACAGAAGTGCTTATCTGCAAGAAGCTTCATAATCAAGAAGGAACGAAGTACTTCTTCTTTCTATATGGTCTGGCTAGGGAAGACTATAGAAGTTTATATTCATGTTGGTCCTGCATCCCTCCGCCACGAATCGGAGCTGGTGTTACACACCGCTGGTGGAAAGCTGATGTGTTTTTGTATATTTATATTGTACAATTTATCGACCGTGAGGGCAATACTATGCTCTATGTGCCGGAGGCTCCCGACATGCAAATTTAGCCATTTTAAAAATAAAATAAACCACCTTTCTGTTCATCAAGCTTGCTCCCAACATGAAAAAATAATTACGAGTGGATTGGGAAGATATATGATATAAATACACTTCCGATATCAGTATTCATAGAATGGGTGCTCGTTATTCCACCCACTCACACCCAACAAATCCTTCTTGGTTGAACTCTACCAACAACATCTCCTCCAGCAAGTACAGTCTGTTCGATGCGACCACCATCTTTCAGTGTCATCAATTTGCCTTCCTCGGAATTCATTTCTACACCTACGACACCTTCCGACTCAAACACACCCCAGGGTGATTTCCCAGACGTTCTCATCCCTCTTGTGCTTGCCGATTGGGTAGTCTTTACCTGGTCAAATGGTGGTCAGACTCCAGTCGACTTTTAAGCTCTGGAAATGATGAATACAGCTGCAAGTGATCCATGTACAGTAGCAACGAAAATAATGATGTTATTCTATCTGCCGCGTCGTCTATATCAGATGGCATTAATCAGATCTCTGATATCACAGGACCTGAAACTCGCCCAGCACGCTCAAGGGCTCCATCCTGTAGCTCATACGCAGGTCGATACCGCGGTGGGAGCCTGACACCATAGGCACTCCTGTCATTAACCTCGCCCTGGCATTGAGTATTTGGATCGCTGACCAGAACCTGGAAAGGTCCTAGTGTGCTCCTAGGTGACTCTGACTCCCTCAAATCAGAGACAGGGTCGGCAAGGCATATCTGGTCGGGGTTATCGGCAATGATGGTAAAAGGACCAATGTCATTCAGAGACGACTTTGGTGGAGTTGATTCGACAAAACACATTGCATTTGGATTGTTTGCCACAACTGTGAGTGAAGAAGGAAGAGTGTGGGATGAATCAGAATCCTTGACAAGTAGGGCTGGATTTGGTAATGTGTTATATGTGGATCCCAGAGACGTGTAACTGCGCAGGCGTCAATCGCAGTTTGCGAAATAAAAACATGCTCACCCTTCGTCATACAACGTACAGTACGGAATTTTGAGTTTCCTTAGGAATGTCCAGATATCTGAGTATGCCCAATTGATGATTGGGTTTATTCGTTCGAAGGCGGGCCATCCAGGATCTGTCACATTTCTGTATGATAGGGTTGCTACTCAAGTCATGAGTACTTGCATCGCGCAATAACAGTGACACTCACTTCCATGGGGGTCCGTTCGTCGGGTGCCCACCAAAATCGCTTGAATATCCGGGAAACGTAATTTGTACAACTCCAGGGCTCGCCGCATCCCTTCACCTCCCCTAGCCGCTCCGACAGGCCGAGTCTGAACGCTATGTCCTATGTAGCCACTGCTCCCCTTAAGCGCTGATGGGGTCGACACACCAGGCGTCACACTTTCCACAGGCAACTGAATGTCTGAGGATAGATTGCATGTGAAAAGATCGAGGAGGTAGTCTTGCGTAGCTATCTTGACAAATTCCTCCAGTGCAGAGAATGGTGACGGGTCTGGAATGTATAACGCGAATATAGGGTTATGCGTGGACGACACCTTTCTGGCGAGAACCGCAGCATACAGATGAAGTAGGACGGTGCCTACGGGACAAATGAATCAGTATATGTACATCTCAGGGGTCCTGCTGACGCACAATCCTTCCCGCCGTTGAAACTCAGAGATACGTGGTCTTGCCTATGAAGTAAAATGTCAGTGATGAATCATGCATGAGCAAAGAAAAAACTGCTGCTCACCCGTATTGACCAAGACACTGCTCGATGACCTGCAATGCCTCTCTTACAATGGGTGCTATGGGATCATCTGACTCTGCAAGATTGTAAACGTCGCTCGCTATCTTCTGGTAGTCCATATCGCTCCGAGTGATAATTTTGAGGATACAAAGAAGGAAACCCGACGACGGTCTAACGTGGAGAATCTAGAGAAGATGTTGCAAGTAAATACGGTTCATACAGCAATGGTGTGGGTACAAGATAGTTATGGTGGGAACACATCTTGATCAATTAGTATCTGATCAGTCTCACATAAAAACACTACAACTCCTCTTATAGCAGCCTGAGCAGGGCATAGTTATTTGAACTTCTTCTCAAGTCAACAACGATGGCAGCCGTGGTACTTGTCACTGGAGGCACTGGACTTGTCGGGAAAGCCATTGAGTACGTTATCGAACACGAACCAGAAGGCTCGCGCTTCGGAAAGCGTCCAGGAGAGAAATGGATTTTTGCTGGCTCTCGTGAGGCCGATCTAAGGTGTTGTCATATGATCATTGTCCAGATAGCAAGCATCAATGCGTAGTGCAGAAACCCAGAAGAAACTCTGAAGTTATTTGAGAAATACCAACCCACTCATGTCATCCATCTGGCTGCCCTTGGTACGCCTTAGTTCGGGTCAGCATGAGCCCATCTGATTTGCGATTCTATAGTGGGCGGTCTCTTCGCGAACAGAGAGCGGAAGGTTAGCACAAATATCCTCTGTCGTGGGCGATCTGACCCCTTGCAGATGACTTTCCTCCGCGATAACATGCTGATCAATGACAATGTTCTCCACGCTGCTCACATCAAAGGGACACACAAAGTCATATCTTGTCTTTCGACGTGTGTCTTCCCGGACAAAGTCGAATACCCACTCACAGAGGAGAAGGTTCACCTTGGTCCACCGCATTCCAGTAACTTCGGATATGCGCATGCGAAGAGGATGGTAGATGTCCAGAACCAGTATGTCATGATTCTCTTAGGGTACCTTTTACTGCGGCTCATATCTACTGCGCAGTGCTTACAAGGAGGAATTCGGCTGCAACTTCACATCTGCCATTCCGACCAATGTGTTTGGACCGCATGATAACTTGTGCGCTCGACCATTACAAAAGTTATCATGTCCTGACTAATCCTTCCAAAGTGATCTGAAGCATGCGCATGTGATGCCCGCGCTGATCCACAAATGCTACCTATCACAAAGTCCGTTTCCCCTCGTTTCAAACGTTCTGCACACTCATACGCTTTCAATGCAGAGAACAATACGCCATTCAAAGTTATGGGTGACGGTTCGCCTCTTCGTCAATTCATCTACTCCCGTGACCTGGCCAAGCTATTCATATGGCAAATGCGCGAGTACGAATCCGTCGAACCCGTCATCCTTTCAGGTAAGCGTTCGTATATCTACTGATGTTAGGTTTACTGATGAGCTCCTAGTGGACGAGAATGACGAAATCAGCATTCGTGATCTTGCGAATTCCATCGTCAAAGTCATGAATCACGCTGACAAGCCCGAGGTATGTTCCTTTCTACTGTTCATGAAGTCCTGAGCAGATGTTCTCGTTATGAAGTTCGAGAACGAAATTAATGACAACGGCCAAGACCGCAAACCCGCGTCGAATGCAAAGCTCATGAGCCTGATTGGCGACTTCAAATTCACGCCATTCGAACAAGGTTTGTTGTCCTCGTTCATTCATTCACTCATTCCAGTTCCTGATCATTGACTGTGTTGCACAGCCCTTGAGGAGACGGTGACATGGTTCCTTCAGAACTATGCTAATGCGAGGACTGGACAATCTCACGCTTAGATAGGCTGGGAAAATGTACAATGGTTCGATGTTGTAGAATTACAGTTGCGTTTCACTATTTGCCTACTTTTCATTCATGGCCTGTATACGTTACCACTATATTGACCACGCTTCTGGGGGGTTATCAGCAATACTGACACTAACATGTCTATCACATTCTGTTCGCCTGAATGGCGGACACCGGAAACCCAGTACCCTGGGCCAATTCGAAATTGAACACCCCAGTTGCCAGTCCTTGCCATTTCTCTCCGAAGGCCCAAAAGCCCGCCCACGTGACGGCTAGGAAGGTTCACGCTGATATGATTCAAGGCCTAGCTCCCCCCAGCAGCACGTTCTTGGCTAGAGTTGACGAAGAGAGCGGAGTGCGACGTGCCGTAGGTCTTTGCTTGACGATGGCGGTTGCCTTTGCATCTTGCTGGAAGAACGCTGTGCCAAATGTAATCGAGGGGAATTAGTTGCCGCCGTTGTGAGCGAGCGTGTGAAGCGGAAGCAAGGTTAAGGACTGCAGGAGGTTCGCGGAAGACCACGCAGTGGTAGTACTTTGAGTGGAGATTCACAGCACCACATGCCACGGGAATCCGAGGTGAAATTTTCCGATTGCTCGAGAGAACCAAATTACTGTATCGCCGAGTACATAGACAACAGGACAATAAGGTGTGATAAATCAAAAGGCTCGAAGGGAAAAGAATAATTCCATCAGAATGTAGGGACGCTGGGTCGTATGAAAGACTGTATTACTAGATGAAAAGAATATTTACTAATTGAGACCAGACGCCAAAACAGAGGCACATCGTTGATGTTCCGACAAGCCCTCATAAGGGGTGTTACAACATTGTGTATAAGATCGTCATCGACCGCCCGCGGGGTGCCAGTAACTCTGTTGGACCCTGAGAAGTGCAGACCAGCTGCAAAGTTGACTTCATCGGGAGTTTGCTCATGACCGACGACGGTATAAATATTGTTCACCATGATATCGAGCAGCATAAGAGGTTCATCCCTAATGGCAGAAGTCATAATTGCTTGAGATGTCAACCGAAATTTAGCCACATGTTGCGCCACAAGGCTCCAGGTACACACATGCATGGCTTCATCTCCAGATAGAGCGGTGCACATGCACTTAATATACCTTGCCCGGCCACCACGGAAGACATAACTTCATCGAACGACAAGCTCTGATTAGAGCCAGCAGCGTGCCACGTAAGAGAAGGATATCCGTTCCCGCTATTTGCCTTTGACCGATGGGGCGGGTGCCATTAGTCTAGGGTGCCATAGAGATCGTGGTTCAACAACGGGCTGCGGTAGAACACAGCAAAACTTTAAAAGGTATCTCGAGAATTGTGAGAGCGATAGACGGGAATAGAGCGTGGTTGGGCTGCTATTGAATTGGACAGAGTCAGTGGAGAGCAGAACAAAAAGTTCAGCAGGGTGCAGTGCGAATTTGCGCTATTTTATTACTGCCATACCTGTGGGGACGAGAGGCAGTATGGGATTTTCGGAGAGGGAGGAATTCACATGAAAGGGTCAGCTACTGAGGGCTAGAAGAATTCTGCATGGATGCCGTCTCCTACCCGACTCTCTTCATTAACGAGCGCTCCAATGAAAATGATTAAGGAAGCAAAACTTACAACATAATCAAGCCTGTGTAGGCTGAAGCTAACAGCGCTGACCTGGACGGTCCGGGCAGCCTGGCCGCAAATTTGAGGTAGACCAGAAGAAGCACAAATATGATCTACACTAATGTTGATCTAGAATGTCTGACCGTCTTTGGCCTCTTGTCGGCGCCTGTTCGAGAAGTCAGCTCAGTCGTTCTGCAGGAAACTATCAGTAAGGCCTAGATACTGGGAACCACCAGGGCGGTTGGGAGCTATATGCTGGGCTTCCATCCCACTGGGGCCACGAAGAGCATGATAAAGGAGATGCTGGTTATGGTGAAAACGATTTTGAACCCATACTATGTCCCTTTCAACTTAACCATCTTTGGCTGCTAGCACCAACGAGCACCTCATTTCTAGTAGTCAACACCCGCCGCCGCCGCCTCAAGCTAGCCCATCTGACACAGTCAGTGCGTCTTGAGATGAGAGCTGCGACTGCATAGTGACTCGTCTATCAGAAAGTACAGTCCCATTGTAACTTGAAGCGGAGGAATCGAACTACAATGTCACAGTTCGTTTGCCGACGCAGAAGACCGATGGTACTATAAATATTATTGAAACGAAACATGGAATGTCTGCAGTGATTATCTGATAGGCTGACAGTCGCTGTGAAGACTAGTCATCAGTGAACCGGTGAACAGATGAGAATGATTTGTGAATGCATAAGACTTTGTTAATTCGGAGGACCTACTTAGTAGCAGTAGCTCTATAACGTACTCTAAATTGGTGAGCAGGACATCAGCAAAAGGCCTTGAAATTTCGCTTGTCAAAAAGAAGTTTGATGCTTACGGTGAGCTTACGACCTGGTGATCGGAGCAACGTGATTGGTGGAACAGATTTTTCTGTAGTTACACTGTAAATATCTCGATGCTGAACTACTAGTCTAGGGTTTGTGCTATTCACAAACCCTAGACTTGGGCCACTCATAATTAGCTGCTAGTGACGCTCATAAAGCTTCGCAGAGATTAATGCACGAATTCAAAACTATATGTGCTGCTATTGTGAGCTACTGATACTATGCGAACTCCGTACTCAATGTGTGATAACTGTCCTTATCCGCAAAATTGTTCAGAAAAAAGCGGTCATAACTTTCCAAACAAATGGCTGAAGAAATCTTTTCGTCCACCTTTTGGCCATATTCTGGGATCAACTCGACAGTGTGTGTTACACTTGTCAATGGAACCACACCACCACATCTGTGTTTGCCGTGTTGGTCTTCCACATATGAGCGTTCTACTGTCCACATCGCGAGTTCAGGCCGGTCATTGGGACTGGCGACAAAGTCGTAGTACTGAATATAGAGCAGCGGATGGGATAGATATGATGGCAAAACTAGGTCAGAAGCACGTGGAAGAGTCGGTTGAAAAATAAGTCGAACTTGTGCGATACGACTTACTGAACATAATCTCGTTAGTGCTGGAACATAAAAACAAAAATGACATACTGGTTTGGCCATCGTCGCCTGTGACGTCGACGAGGACATTATCACAGTTTCCGAGGGGAAATCCGCTATCTGGTGGATACGCCTGGATCACTCTGCTGGGCATGATCAGCCGTGGCCGGAAGGCCGAATGAAGCTGTAATCGAAATTTTTTCCATGCATGAAAGCGTCCATATTTGTGGTCCCAGCGGGTATGCTCGCCGGTGGAAAGAGAAAAACATTTGATGAACTGAGAGAGTGCATGATCAAAATCAATGAGCGAATATATGGTATGAATGTCGGTGGGCGACAAAGATTTGAAATCTGGTGTCGACGTCAGATGGAAGGCAGTGAGTGCATCTCCGGAAAGAATGCCCTTGAGGAAATGGTTACGAACTGGCCGAGGTCCGTGAACAGAGTGCGATTCATCAGGGAGAACACGAGAAACCCAGGAGAGCGCTGGATTGACGGTTGTCACCGCCTCATCCTCAGTGCATATCACATTGACAAGTGATGCATGATGAGAACGGAACAGTGCGTACAAATTAAACAGCTCTATTGACTCCTGGCGGTTGAGAATCCGTACAGACTGTTCCACGAAGTCGTTGACTCGTCGATTTGTTCGTACAAAGAGATCCTTGCAGTGAGTAATGAGCAAGCGCTCCGTCATATCCGCCGAAAACTGCATCAAAGTGCCCAGTCTCTCGACTGTGCCTCTGAAGCTTTGGAGCAACTCGAGTTTAGGAATAAAGAAATCTTCCTTAACATTTTTCTTCCCCCTCCGAGCCTGGGCCTCGATGACAGCGTGCTTGAATGTATGAAAGTCTGAAAGGGACTGCATCATTGACGACAAGGTTTCTGCAGAATGAATCGGATTTTGGGCAAGATAAATGAAGTCAACGAGGGCACGGATTGCGCGAATGAAGTTAGGTGGAGCAACACCTGCAATCGAAGCAACAATGGTGCGTTGAATATCTCGATGCTCACGACCTGTCATCTGGTTGACGTGCGTGATACCTTTGGTGAAGTGGCGTGTTCCCACCCGCTTATGCTGATTCATGTAGCGAGCATCGAGTTCGGATTTTCCTACTACCTCCTTGATCCAGGTGAGCGGATGGTCAGCAAAAAATTTGATGCAGGTGTGCAAGATCTCGCCAGCGAGAAAGACAGACGGACATGCGTAGATCCAGTCACGCCAATATGGCATGTGGACTCCAGATAGATGGACAGCTTTGGCTGCCTTCTGGAATTTGTCGAGATCCCAAACATCAATTGTTTGGGAGATCTCACAGATAAGTTGTAGCGTGTGTTGCCCAGTACGAGGAGGGTAGAGAACCCCATCACCAAAATTTTCTTGTGACGCCATTGTTAAAGGAGATGCACTTTTACTAACCGCAGCGATCATGCAAGCCTCTGGCAGGTCACATACGTGAGCGACGAGTGGCGTATAGACATAACGAATAAATCTGGAAGGATCAGGCATAAAGCAGCCTGTCTTGGCTGCCTGTTTAAGGTTGGCGCAGACAAGGTCAACGCACTTATGCCACAGCTGCGCCTGAAGAATGGTTTGATAATCGGGATGCACGCGAAACTTAGCGACGGGCATGTAAGCGATACAGCGCCAAGCTCGGAGTGTGGCCTTGGAGCGAACTTCTGAATCAAGGTTACCGATGGTGATGAAGATGGGGTGCATCTCGAGTCCCCCAGTGGTCCTCGTCACGGGAGTTTTGTCGGACCCTAAAATGATCGGTACTTGTGTAGCACCTAATGGGAGACAGTCCTACACGGAATCAATCTTTGAGTAGTCGACTAAGCAGGGCAAACTTACCTGAATTTTCCATGCTAAATCAGCGCTCATATAATCTCCATACTCGCGCTGATTCCCAACATGAACTACGTGGGGCTGAAAGGTAATATTATTGGTGAAAACTGGGTCACTGAAAAGTTGTTTGACGACTTCCAGAGCATCGCGCCAAATGAGCTGAATGGGATGGACAGTCTTGTAGCCTGTAAACTCTAGTTTTGAAACTTTCCACTCTGCAAGACAGGGTAGTGCGTCCATCCAATCTAGAAGTTGATCTTTTGAGGTGAAAGATGGTTTTGGGCGAGTGCTAAACTGTGAAAGAGTCAGACTTGTCGAATAGTGCTTAGAGTCTCCTACCCATTTCAACTTCAAGAACTTGTCAATTTGAGTCTGATTCAGGTTTTGAATCAAGAAACTAGCTAATTCCCACTCCCCCTCGTCATGGAAAGGATAATAAGTGTTTATCTCCTGCCGATAATTATATTGATCGTCCTGCAACCTGTCATATAGGTTTTTACCGATACCAAAGACGTATCCAGAGCGAGGATGACAATGGCCAGTGGTATTAGATGGCGGACCTCGCAACCCAGGGGGAACGGCTGATTGTTGTGAACGTGCTTTGTGCGGCCAGCAGGTAGACTGTGAATTGAGATGCAGAACGACTGCTTCGATCGAAGGGAACTCCCTATTGCAATTGGGACACAGCCTGGTAAAGGTATGCATACTAAAGCTAAAGTCAAAGCAACTTAATGGATAATATGCACATTTACTTGGGCAATGGGTCAGCGTTGGAGTCTAGTCTTTCAAACTCCGCTGTGTTGCTTGCTGACATTGCCAGTGTATTCACAGGGTATTGGTGTATTCACTGTACTATTATCAGCCTGCATTGAAGGCTAGAGAGACACTGTCTTGCCGACATTGATATTTGTTCATGTCACCCTCACTTCCACCTTCATCTCCGACTCGACCCAGCAGTCCCGGCAACTGCCTCCCTCCATCAAGCAGTCCCCCATCCTCTCCTCTATCGGGATCTTCTTCAGCTCCTGGGTCGCCTCTTTTTGATTCTTTCCATCTCTCAGAGAGTTCTCCTGATACCAGACATTCTGACCTATGTGCTTCCCTCAAAGGTATCTCCTCAGCGGAGAAGACACCTCCGCCCGTGACTCCGGCTTCTGCTACTGAGGGATCAAACAGCTTATTTTATAATCCACCCGCATCTCCAGATCTTTCTCGCAGTGCTCGACGTCAGTTTATACGTGACAGAATGAGCAGGAAGTTTGTACCATACCCCCCGGACCCAGCTCCACTCGAGGTTCGTTTTGCAGCGCGTCTTATGGGGCGGGAACGCAGACCTTATGTATCCAGCGAATCTCTTCTCAAGGTATTATTATTCTATCCAGTTCCATCCAAACAACTCATTTATATTTTATAAAGCATGCTGGATACTTAGAGAATGGCCTTGCGCAAATGCATCCTTCAACTCTGTACAAAGGATACCAGGCACAGCTTGCAGCTCGTGAGACTGCGCGTCAGCGCATGCTGGCGACTGCGTGGGAAATCGAGGAAACTGAACGCTTCATCATATTCCTCAATGCCATACATGCCGACAATGAAGACCGGCTCAAACTCACAGACGACCAGTTACACGCCTTTAGGAACCTCTTTTCTGAGCGTGACTGCGTAGATGCCGATGATGACCGAGACTATCTTCAAGCGGTCTATGAAGATGAATGCGAAATTCTTAAGATTGTCGCATCCCAAGCTGAGCATGTGGCAAAGGTCTTAGGCTCACGTGTCAGCAAGGCTTTCCAACATGGGGTTGGAGCATCCAGATCGTCTTCGTTGCAACCTGGGTTTGTTGGTGATGACAGTGTCGATAAGGCATCTGTAGAATCCAGGGCCGATGGTTCCGGATCCCCCACTGCCGGCGGGGTTCCTGATGACGACGACAACCCTATATATCTGGGAACCCCTGATAACCTTGGAATTCATCCCAAAGCGTCTTGCGTGGCCACCGCAATGTGACTTCTTATCGTGGTAAGTCGATTCATGTGTCTGATTATTACTCCACACTGATTGATTGATAAGGAATGTTGTAATACACGCGACACCCTTTCATCATAGCCTTCTTCCAGACCGTGTTGGTTTGTCATATGCACACCGTTTTTTACCTCCTCGCCCCTTCTTTCCCCGCTTCTTTGACCTCACGGTCACAAGTACATCAAGTCACAAGCTGTATAGTTTGTTTGCATTCGCGTATCTCCGTTTGTATTAGAATTGTAATTGATATGCCCTTTGCCCTCCCCCAAGTGATTCTACCTTGATGAGTACCCAACGTCGTGCGCCGCGCAAAGGTAAAACCACAATTCCAAAACCTCCTCGAGGATCTGGTCTCAACCCTTCCCATGCGCCTGCGGACACGCAGATCAATATTCCCGACGAACAACCGCGGCCTCCGGAAATGTCTAACTTCGATCCACATCAGCGACAGCACGCCTTTGGTACATATAATCAGTGAGTCTTCCCATCTCTTTTGTCGCGGACTCAGACTCAAAATAACAATAGGCCGAGTCCCGGCTACTCAAATCCTGGAGATAGTAGCTCAGGTGCCGGGTACACCAACTCGCTCTTAGGCGCCGGGTACACCAACTCGCTCTCTAATGCCGGGTACACCAACTCGCTCTCTAACGCTGGGTACACCAACTCTCTCTCTAGCGCCGGGTACACCAACTCTCTCTCTAGCGCCGGGTACACCAACTCTCTCTCTAGCGCCGGCTACACCAACTCTCTCTCTAGTGCCGGCTACACTAACTCTCTCTCTAGCGCCGGCTACACCAACTCTCTCTCTGCTGCCGGCTATAGCGCCCAGTCCTCCTCCCAGTCCTTGTCTGGCGCTCAATCCCCAAGGGCTGGTCCCTCAAACATCAACTACAATGTTCCATCACTCGCGTCACGTACGTATTGTTTCTTTTCATTGTAAATCATTTTCTAACAAACACACCATGTTCAGCACCGAGCTCCCACCTTATCGGGCCCATACCTCATTGGTTGGGCGGTGATGCCGACGCCGCACGCGCACTGACACACAATCCCATACTGGACGAAATACCGGTATCCAACGTGATACATGTGAGTACTTAATATTATATATCTTACTACACGTTTTAATGATAACAGACTTTGGGTCCGGTGCGCTCTATCGAAAGACGCCGACGCTCCCGACGTATGCCCTCAACGCCGTCGTTGGCGCCTTATTCGGCGCCCCCATGCCCGACGCGTACCCCAAATCCCAGCCCGCCTCCATCCCCAACGCGCACTCCAAATCCTGGCCCGTCCTCGGCTACAACGTCGAGTGACGTTGTCATCCAGGTCAAGGTCAGTGCGGCGGACCGCGAGCAAGTCTACAGCCGCTCGCGAGACCTTATCAAGGGCACCATCTTCACGCCTGATGCAATCGCATCAAAATCTGAGGACCAGAGTCGCCTCGTCAGGGATATGATCAAAGCATCAGCGCCTTCCATTCCGAGCCTTCGCGGTAAGTTCAATGAAGACTCTTTTAGCTTATACTGAATGAATAGTAGGGCTAAATCGATGGCCATCGACGCCGAAAGATGTGCCGACGATTTGGCGGGGAGTGGTCCTAGTGCGTTCGACGATGATGACGATTGCGCGACAAAACGTGGTGATGGCATACGACCTGCTCCCCGAACACGATTCCAACATCCCGCCAGATCAATTTCGTGTCGATCGAGTAGCTAGTCTTGTGCGAGACAAGGCCTATATGCACAAACATTCATTTTCTCAAGTATGTTTATTTTTTGTTTCGAAATCAAGATCTAACTAAGGCTTAGGACGGGACGGTGATCATTCACAACAAATGCCAGAATAAATTCATATTCACCCTGCTCATCAAACTCATCTGGCTCTCGAATCACGGACTTCACGCGCTACTCGGCAACCACCAATCACCTCGTGAGGCACTGCATCATGCGTACTGCCTTGCATGTTCAATAACGGAGCATGCATTATTGGAACAAGGCCAACTAATATTCACGAAGCAGAAGTTCTCGCCGACTGAGAACAAGACGATATTCGATAGCGTTAATTTTTTTCTAAATTCTCTCAGTGAGGAGGAGAAGGCAAGTCTTGATAGATGGAAAGACCATCTGATTGTTTGTGGGAGGTCGCAACAGGGGTCTACTGCCATTCTTTCCGATTTCGACTTGACTATTGAAACGTAGAATTTGGACTATAGTTCGCAGTTTTAGCATAGTTCATAGTTTTTGTGTTAGATTCCCACAAATTTCGTGATTCTACCTACAATAAATTATTAAAATGCATACCGGAGTGCTTCAAACAGTCAGATATTAGTATTACGAACGCCAAACGTATACCGGAGTACTTAAAACAGTCATTACGGATGCCTGACCTGACTATACCATATCCGAGAAGTTTCAGACATGTTTTAAACTCGGTTCGAACACGGACCCTCTCTTAGATGGATGAGGCAACGATATAAATTTGACGACACTGAAATTTCAAATTGGATTTAATAATTTTATGCTAAATTTTAATTAGGAATGCCTAATTTAATACATGCACAAGGTCCGGCCCATCATCGACTCATCTTGGACTAGTTCGCCGCGATGAACGACAAAGGCCTTAGACCTACTGCAGGGCTGACAACAAAGGGTGATATTCAGTGCTTTGTGGTAGAATTGGCGCTCGGCACCGGGGACATAGTATCAATGGCTCTGCTTTAGCATCATCCAAGGCGCAAACTATACTAGTACCATTCCCAACACACCTCCCCCGTCAGCCGCAATGCCAGACTCCGCCTCTCGCAAGTTCATTGATATCATTTTACGGACGTCATCTAAGTGGGCTAATTTGGACCCGCCAATCCCGATCAAGGTCAGTCCACGTGCTTTAGTGAGCACTATCCCGAGTTTGCCTGGTGTTAAACGTCAAGTGCCTGTAGGTCGGAAGCTTCGGGAAGATTGATGGACAAACTGAAGTGTTTATAGTGGACGGGAACATATACGACGAAGCATTTCAAGAACCATTGAAGCGCAAGGCTTGATGATCGATTTGTCTCATCCATCGTGCCAGCCGATAATGGGTGCAATCGAGGAAGATATGATTATGTCCTCGATGGATGTCAAAAAGAGTGAGATTTCGATCACGCCAAAAGTGTGAGAGCGCATGCACTCCTTGTTGGTGCCTATCATTCACACATTACAATCGAACAGCTCCGCCCTCGACTTGGCTTCCACCTCCTTCAAGGCCGAGTTCCAGTTTCCAGGAAGGCAAACGAGGTGCTGTCTTGGTAATGCACAAGCCGTAGCAGGAATATATTCCCCAGGGCAGGGTTCTGAGCATCATCCACGAGGCGCACCAGTTGAAGGATAAATATATTTTCAGCAGTATATTTACGTGTCCAGGGTATTATCTGTACTTGTCCAACAGGTGTGCGTCTTACCTTGTGCTTCATTGATGGCAGGATGCTGAAGGCCTGATGTAGCCACAGAGAGGGTGACTCTGGCGCTTACTGCTAATACATCGCTTACAACTCCAATAGACGTATCTACTGGCGGAGAAGCTTCAATCGATTGGTGGACGGACGCTCAAGCAGCGTTTCTCCGAAAGGCGTTTGACAAAGCTGGACAGTACCGTTACACACATCTCTTCGACCTCAAGCGCAGGCAACATTGATTCAAACG